ACTACATCTTCTATGTGTGAAGAATTTTTTAAAGTAAGTTGTGATTGTAATTTTATAATACGATGTTTTAGTGCAATGATTTGTTGTTGTCGACCACGCCAATTTCCATATGTTCCATCGGGTTTTAATTTTAAATTTATTAACCAACTATTTAAATTTGGTATCGATTCACCAGTTTCTGATTCGATTACTTTTTTCGCTAATAATAAATCATGATTTAAGATTTGAATTTTTTGACGTAATTCCATAACAACAAATTCTAGTTTTTTTAATTCCTTCTTCTTCTTCTTCTCTTGTTCTACATCGTCTGATATGTTTTCAATGTTTTCGTTCGTTGTGATATTGTTCTGTTTACATAAACTACATAGAACATTTTTGTTTGATGAGTTAACCGATTCAGATTCCAACTTTCTAACTATTTGATATAAGTTATTACATTTGTTTCGTTCACTCACAAGTGAAGCATTCAATTCTCTAATTTTTTTAGATAACTCAATGATTTTAAGTGAAGCTACATCTAGGCCTGGATCATTAGGATAATGTTTATTGGCTTCATGCATAGTAACACTCTCTGTTTGTTTTAAATTCTCCTCATGACAGTAATCTGGCATTGTTTTGTGTATTTTATTTTCTATTTACTTGAGTAATCATTCTGATGTGCTTTTTTTAAGGGTTGTACCACTAAAAAACAAAAAATCAAAGAAGTATGACAAAAATGCATCGTAACAATTTAAAAGGTTAAAAGTTTATGATTAAAATAGCTAGAACGAAGGTCTTGATATTTTCATCATCGTTTATGTTGACAATCTTGAAATAGTGGAACAATTCACTGAAAAGTTACACTTTCGATTTTCTCCCCCCCCCCCCCGTCAAACTTAATGCTCATACATTTTAGATGGAATCTGTGTGTTATAATTCTCTTTTACGGTTATAACCCAACTATTCCTATTGCTTAGTATTCTCAAACACCGATTCACTCGACAAGTCCCCAAATCAGAACACGGTTGAACAGGAAAGAGATTATATTCTAGATAACAAGGTTAGATGGAAGTAAGAAGCAAGCAAGTGCAATAGGGAAAACGTTAGTATATTTATAGTTTTTCACATGAGAAGATTCCTAGAGTGTTCACTAAGTATTGCCAAACGCTGGTTGGATAAGAATGAGCCAATCAGCGTGCACCAAAGCAATCGTGCATTGAGCATACTTTAATCCGGTCGATGTCCCGCTAACACTGTGTTCAGTTCCTTTCTATAAATCATTTAAGACTCACTTGACATTCTTATTCTTCCATGGCATTCCTTTTTACCTTCCCAAGACAAAATGTACCAAAATAAATACATGTAATACTTTTACAATGAATATATTATATACTACAGAGGTATCTTGAAGATAAGCAACGATTTCGTTTTTATTTATTATCTCTCATTGTGGATGCGTGTAAAACTTTAAAATAATACTAGGTTGCATCGATTTGTCTGTTAAATAAAATGCTTCTGTATAGATAAAGAAACTATTACTGAAGAAGGGGAAGAGTGATATATGACAAAATCGCTTATATAGATTCCTACAGTATGCTTTTATTTGAACGAATATATCACTAGGCATTCTTTGAATTTCTAAAACCTAAGGCTTTAAAAAACGTTCCTACCTATATATTTTTGTGAATAAGACAAAGTAATGTGCACATATGAATAAATCTAAATAGATTATAGTCTTTCAGGTCAATATTACTTACGAAAAACATAAGATTCTGTAACATTCCAGTCCTATGAGAGCCCTATCGTGATTAAAATAGCCCAGTCATAACATTTTAAACTGTAGCACTGCTTGCCATGCGTTCGACTGTGATAGGAAGCACCGCTCCCATCAAAGTTGCAGATATGCCTCCCTAAACACAAATAAATGGCACAAAACCGAGTACCAGGACTCTCTCATGACTACCATGATTTGAACTATCTTCATCTCAGTGAAATCCTAACAAATATAACGTGTCAAAGCGTTGATTGAACTCGTGTAACATACAATCGAAGAATAAGTTAGGTCCGAAATCATTTCTCAGTATTCTGTACATCAAAATTAGATCTTCCTTTAATCTGCGACAGGACAGAGTAAAGAGGTCCAGCTTTTCGAGCCGCTCTTTGTATGGTAAACCCCGGAGTACTGTACTTTTTTCTAGGATATCCAAATCGCCTTTTAAACAGGGGCTTGCAGCCTGAACGCAGTTCTCAAGCTTAGTTCTCACTAAGGATGTGTATACTGTAGTGGACATGATGGTATCTAACTTAGTGAATGTTCGTTTTAAAGCCCAGAGCGTTCGAAACCCCTTAGCTACGACCTCCCGGCAATCGGCCGTCGTCTTAAGATCATGACTCACTGTCACCCCTAGATCTTTATGAGACCGGACCATTGATAATGGCACTTCCCCTATGCTGTACCTATTAACCTTTGAATCCCCAAAGTGCATGTAGACACACTTTGCCGCGTTTACAGGCATCGGCCACTCTTTAGACCAGTTAATCATATTATTTAAGTCTGCCTGAAGAGCATATGCGTCTGTGTCTCTAGTTATTACTCGCTAGATCTTTACGTCGTCAGCGTATAATAACATTGGAGACTGTACTATACTTGGAAGATCATTAACATACATTATAAAAAATAAAGGACCTAGGACGGAACCTTGAGGTACTCCACTAAGTACTGGTCTCCAGATGGAGCACTTGGAATTTATTCTTATTTTCTGTCTACGACCTACTAGGAAATCCCTAATCCATTTTAAAAGAGGTCCGGCAATACCAAGGTTTTCCAAATTTAATAGCAGTCTATTAGTTGGCACCTTGTCAAAAGCCTTACTGAAGTCTATGTAGACAAAATCCACTGGGTTTCCGTTGCCTAGTGCCTCTATCCAAAATTCCCTTGCTATAAGGAGGTTCGTTGTACAATATAGACCCTTTCTAGAACGATGTTGTTCTATGTTTAGTAAGTTATTGATTTCCATAAATGCCATTATGGTTCGTTTGAATATTCTTCCCAATATTTTAACTACAACACTAGTGAGGCTTACAGGTCTGTGGTTCGATGGAAGTTGTCTTAGTCCTATTTTATGCACGGAAGTTCCGATCGCGTCCTTCCAGTCCATAGGTAACACACCTTGGTCAAGTGACATATTGAATATCACAGCCAGTGGGGCCGCGATATATTGTGCAATATGTATATAAGATTTTGGGGCGTAGTTCATCTGATTCTGTTGACTTTTTCATGTTTAAGGTGCTAAGAGCCTTAAGCACATCGTCTTGATCGAAACCCACAGTGAGCAGGTGGTTTGTTGACTCTTTATTTTGATCCGGTTCTTTGTCTAGAGGAGGTTCCTGAGTGTAAACTGCCCCAAAATAGTCAACCGCAGAATCTGCTTTTTCCTGATCTTCATCTATCTGTTCAAATTCACCCCATTTTTTAATTAGGTTTGGAATCCAATGATCCATCCTTGTTCTGTAGTTTATGTACGCGAATATTCTCTTGGGCTGCTTGAGTGCAGATTGTGCCAACTGCATTTCATATTTTCTTTGAGCTTCCAGAAATTTTGTTATACACTTGTTTCTTACCGATCTGTAGCGTTCCATCGTGCCTGCTGTGCCAAGGTGGATGCCAACATCCCAACATTTCTTTTTTGTCCTAGTAAACGTCGAATATCCCGGCCTATCCAGGGATTGCCGTGCTTCTTCTTCTTTGGAACTGTCCAGGGTATGTATGGTTGAGTTACCCGATTGTATAACTGCCTGAAAAGAGTCCATGCCTCTTGTACTGATGCCCTTGAGTCAATTTCCCAGTTTTTAGCCGATGCTGCGGAGTTGATTGCCTTAATATCTGCCTTCAATATATTAGGACGGGCCGGTGCAACTGTTTGACAGGCAATCTCAGCCATGAATTTCAATAATATGACTGCATGGTCACTTCTCCCTAGTGGCAGGAGGAGAGTCATCTGACCAACGTCATCACCGTGTGTGAAGACTAAATCTAAAAGAGAAGAAGAATTTCTTAAGTAATATCTTGTGGGGTTTCTAATGTGTTGGAACAAAGCTAATCCAATCGAGGTTTCTAACAGTTTGGAGTCGAACGACGATATAGATGACTCTACTTCTAAGTTAACCCAGTTTATGTACGGTGCATTAAAGACGCCTACTACAGGGCTTTTACCCTTGTTACACCAGAACTCAAGTTTACTTTGGATAAAATCATCTGCTACACGTTCTGGAATGCTATATACTACAACTAATTGAATATCTTGCCGTCTACATTTCAGCATACATCGCACCAGTTCACATGTTCCTGAAACATGTGCCACTGTCTCAGCTCCTCTTATGGTTAGGGTACTTTTCGTGTACAGGATAACCCCGCCTTCCCTACAGTTTAATCTGTCAGCCCTATTGGTTAGAAAACCAGTCAACTGAATTTCATTATCTAATAATTCTGACGTTAACCAAGTTTTTGAGACAGCAATAACATCCGGTTTTTCTTTATTCACCACTGACTTGGGCTCCGCCATTTTATTTGGTAGGCTGCGAACATTTGTTTAGCATACCTTTAAGTCTGTGGAGAACTTTCCCTTACCACCCAGAGTGTTTTGGGGATCGTTTTGCTCCGAACTTTTACAATTTGAAAACCCTTAAGAACGAGGTTGCCTTCACCTTTTTGGCGACGCTCATCTATTTCCACTTCTGCAGTTCGTCTCTTAATACGCTCGGCTAGGCTGAGATCCTCACGGAAGTATATTCCGGATCCAATCAGTTTACGTGAGTTACCTAGGATCAGGTTCCTTTTTCAACCGTGGAAAATGTAACTTTCAAGAGGCGGCTTCTCTGAGGACTTTTAGAATCCACTTTTTGTCCTATTCTATTAAGCTTATAGATGGTAACTCCCGAAAATATTTCTAGGAGTAGTTTGCTCATTAAGGACATAATGTGGCTGAGGTCGTGCTCAAACCTGGCCTCAGGTTCCTTTTTGAAAGATTCTCTTAACTTATAAAAAATGGCTGACGACTCATGAGGTCTGTCTTAACACGCAGTGGAGTTTTTGTCTCTCATACCGTCTCTTCCAATGACTTGATAACCAGATGCTGTTCGCCTACAGCTTTTTTCTTCTCATCTCTTTCTCTCCGTACTGAAGTCCATTTATCATCACTCAGTACAGCCACGCCGGGACTATTTGGAACGGTAACAGTTTTATCCGGGTCTTCAATTTCCACTGAAGGTGTATGATTACCAATGTCAATATCAATCGGCACTTCACTCCTCGTTAATGTTAACGAAGATTTCACTTTCCCGTCAATCACAGTCGGATGTTTAACGGGTCCGGTAGCAACACGTACTACACTGACACATTCTTCACCGTCAGTGCTCGTGTTATCAGCGCAACAGCCATCGTTTTTCTTACAGGCTAAAGCCAATAGGCTCATAGCCTTGTGGATTAGTAACTTCCTATTTGTACAGCAAAAAATACAAAGCCAATGCGAGTTAGGCTTCGAGCATCTTTTGTATGCCGTAGGACTTAGACGTGTACACATCTTATGGTATCACTTTTTACATTCATCGCACTGCATTCCTTCCTCAACGGTGAACAAGAAGTTTGGTTGTCCACAGTTATAAGTTTTACTAACCATTGTGATTTGATATAAAAGGTTTAAAAACACAATATGATTACAATGTGAACACGAGTGTCAGTCAATAACTAAAAAAAGGTAGCACAGGACAAATTTTAGCAAAAATTTCGAACCTAAACCGAAGTACTTTTAGTTAAAGTAGACCAAGAATGCTTTTTGGTGCATAAAGTACATAAAGCAAGGAAAATCACAAGTTCAAAAATCACTGCCCTTTTTTAATCGAACGCTTATAGGGGACTTCCATAGATGAAGTCAGCAAATTTCGCTTTACACACACAGATAATTTACCGGAAGAAAAGTACTTAATAGTCAAATGAAATGCAAACAAGTAAAAATAATAAATTCGTGTAATGAGCGAGTAGATCAGTTGGTTAAAATCGCCGTTAACGGCAATCCCGTGACTAGATGGGTATACGCTCGAGGCCCAATTAGCTTTCAACTGGCCAATTAAGGTATAAATCCAATCAAAAAAACTAGTTTAAAATTAAGAGCTCCCGTCTAAATCTGTTAATAATGTTCAGTCTGATATATCCAAACTACGCCGCAAAACCTATTAGTTATAATAAATTATGTCGAGATGTTTAAACAAAAGCTACCTTGAGACAAAGTTCAATTGTACTTCGTATATACAGATATCTGTATTTAAATATGGTCTTGTTGTGGCAAGTAACTCCCCTAAATAAATGGTTCTGCAAGACCTTAACAGTGGATTCTGACACCGTTTTATTGGACACACCTGGCTGAAGACGCTTGACAACGCAACTATACTATATCACGAGTAAGCACATTGTGCTATGCATTCTCTGTGACTGATACACAGCTCACAACAAACACTTCTCACTACATCGATAGCTTTCCAAGTATATCTTCCAACCACTACACTTCTGACACCTGATTTGAATGGGTTGGTATAATTCGATTATAAAGGTGTCACGTGTAAAGACGTTATAAAGCTCCGAATCATGTGGCATCTTTAGTTGTGAGCTCGATGTGATCCGGTACATCGAACAATAAACTGTGAGTCTTCTGTTTGTTATTAGGACATTGAACGTCACATTTTTATTCCTACATTTAGTCGTATCGTTCCTGTATTTTTGAATATTTTATAGCCTATTTGTACGGGTCACCCTCATGTGGTGGGACAGACACCTAAGTTATTTAGGATTAGAACTCTCTCGCCTCCCAGCTTTCAACTCATACCATTCTGGCCCAACAATATATAAGACTGGTTCACTATACAGAATCTGACGTACACGAGCACTGTGACAGACCACGTGCACAAGTATTCGCTGTGGTGAAGACACTCCCAAACAATGTTAACAGGTGCATCACGCCTAGTGTGTTTACTAGTGACTTCTCTGAGCGTTACGACACTCGTAAGAAAACCAGTCCTTAACGTGGAGACCTGACTGACCGACAAGTGTTAGACCATGTAGGGCCAGTGAAATGTCACTGAGCCCTAGCCAAATCACCCGGCAGTTGGATCAGTGAATGTCGAACAGATCATCTCTCCATGCCAAGGTCATGTACAACCAACGCGCATTAGTTAATCGTATGCCATGGACTGGCCCATGAGGCAGTGTTCTTACTTTCGCTTGTATCCACTTTCACTAATATATTTCTGTAATAACGTCCTTTGTGTTGTACAGTCTTCAAAGCATCGATAGTACCTTGTTATGTCAACGGGGGTAGTCCGCGTAAGGTGCTGACCACGAGGTGTGACTTCGACGTTAGTTGGTTCGTCACACCATTCACGTCTAACTCGAGTAGGCCTCTAATCATTTCGACATAGATCATCTGCGTTGGTGATCTACAACCAATTCTTCCAAAACTTATGTCTACAGCATCCTCAGTAACAGAAATGTCGCTATGTATGTGGGAGGTCATCAGTCAGCGTACCTTCTTTGAAGTCCTGTTTAGACAACTTTTCTTGAATCGGTTTCCCCAACAGGTGCAGCTGGTTCCCATCTCATTTCAAAATAACGCCGTGGACGAACTGGGTGGATTTGTCTATAGGGCTCCGAAGATCTCCGGAACAGCAAGCGCCGATGCTCCTTCCGTAATATAAAAGTCTAACGTGACAAAAAATGACGTTACCAACCTCTGCCATACTCTCACACGGTATCCTAATATGTATCATAATAATAGAAGCTCTTTAAAACGTCGAGGAAGCTCTTCACGAAAAATATATGTCTCTAAACTACGATAGTCAGATAATCCTGAATAATGCTAGTACCACAAAATGTATGGTAAGTCCTCTTGAAATTGTAGAAAACCTTGCAGTTTCCCAAGCTCCAAGCCATCTGTCACGAAAAATCTTTCAGCAAAGTTCCCGCCAGGAGCGTGGTAACGGCAAACAGAGCCGTCTGTTGCACATCATTGATGTGATGATAAAAGAAGAGTAAGTTTTCTAGAACGCTTGAACAAATATTATGTGTGGGATGCTGCCCAACATTTCGTTTTACTTCGCTTGTTTGTACTGATGTGTCAATATATACATATACGTGTATTTTCTGCTCTTTAAAAAATCTAAAGACATTCATTGTGCAAAATTTTTTACAGTTCGTCCTATCTCATCACTAATGTCTCCGGATTTCATCTTGGATAACAATCAAGGAGCACAAAATTATACGTTTATGTTGACATCTTTGACTGACTGGTTATGCACTTACGGCGTTACTTGTTATTACAAATACTTCTAGACTTTAATCGCACTCATTCATGACCGCCAATCGCTTGTCGTATTTCAACCTCCACAAAACGCGAAACTCCTATATTGGACATAAGCCTTTCTAACAATGATGTTCTGATGTACGAAAATTAATCCCCTGTTTCTGTAATCAGTGTGTCCCATAATATATCAACCCCAACTATGTAAATGATTAAATTAAATCCTGTACCACTTGTAAAAATTTGATCTTGCCTGTAAACTGGCATGTCTCATGTAACATATTGTTATTTGCGAGTATAGTTTATTGTTATCGCATATTATCAATGCACATGTAAACCAGTTAATTTTTTCTTCGTACGTTTTGTGTCATGACGAATGTATTTTTAAATGCACCTTCAATTTCATTCTTTTTCTTTTCCAGGCAGCTAGAAAAGATGAAAAATCGACTAATGGAAGTTTTCACCCTACTTTTTTTCATTGCTATATTTTGCCACATTGCCCCTCTTATTGGGTAAAGACGACCAGATACTGCTGAATATAGCAAGCTGTCAGAAGAGTACTTAACAACGTCAAACTCATCCAGCCCAAACTTCTGACAGGTAACGTCTTGGGGTCGTCACTGCCACACTAAGGGGTGGTTCCTGTGGGATTCCTGAGGATTTGATTGGACAAATTCATCTGGTGTGCGGTTTTGAGAGTTTCCTAATAAAAGAGATGAAAACATGTGTCTACAATCCAGTTTAGGGTTGTGCCATGATATTCGGATATTCAGAGTTTGATAATGAGACTGAACTTAAGCAGGTATTGTAGAGAATTTCCATGGGTGTTCAAGATGTGAAACTAGTCGGTCTGTCAAATATCTTAACTCATTAGATAGAGCTTAACCTCAGTGTAGTGCACAACATACCAAGCAAATAACATATACAGAAATATTTAACCCCAAGTTTCCTAATCTCTCTTCACTTGCTGATAATCCTGATCTGGTTACTGAAATAGACTTCAAAGCGGAATCCTGTTCGCCTGAAAATGTAACACAATATGCTCGCTGGAGGTTCTACAGATAAGCACTAGCTTGGACTACATTTTCCCCAATCAAGCAATAAAATTTTCAGACTTGGGGATTTCATAATCTCTTATTCGAAATGGTAACATCTTGTCATTTAATGCTTCCATAAATGAACAATCATCCGTATATACATGATACAAAACATTATGAAGAACTGACTGCAGTTTTGGTAAAATTAAGTCTTTGAGGACACTACTGCTTACGTAACACTGACCCATAGACGTGGACGAGCCATTGCATCCTTTTAAGAACATCACCATCCTGTCAGTCGATTGAGATGATTCTCGCCAGACAGTAATGCGCGGCGTCTTTTAGATTCTTCTATTGGTTGAAGGTTAGTATCCCCATTGAGGTCAGGAATTAGAATGCTTCCTGGACTAAATGGCATCCCCTTAACTGTGCATATGACTAATCATACCTCATGAACTGTAGACAAAAGTTAAATGGCGCAGATGAATATATCAGTCTCGGTTGAACAGTTCTGCTAAACTTTGTGGTGAGGTTTTGCATAACATCACGCGGAAAAAGGGGTCTCGTTCCAGAATTCACCTTTGATAATCAGGTTACTAGTCCGTTCACATCATAGTCTACCATAAGACATTCTTAACTAAGGGTTTCCACGGCCATCTGGGAGGCAACTTGTGTACTATTGGTTGTCGATAAACAAGAAACTGGATAATGTTTCTCTTTTTGACACTGTAAATCTGTTTCTTTCTGAACGCTTCCTCGTCCAATGTAATCACAGCCATTTCAAAAATGCTTCGAAGAACAGCCGAACAATTATATATATATATATATATATATATATCCATGGACTACCAGGGTGACTGACTGTATGCAGTAATACACTATTACATGCATCTTCCCGTCTTCATTCCTGACATCATTTCCTTCTTTCCTACTTATTTGTCATTATTGTTCCACCTGTGGTATCTAATGCCGTTGTAACCAGCAAGTTTAAACTAACATATCTGTTTGTGATGACGTCTTGATGATAAGGGACGGTTTTTTATCTTTGATATCCCGAAATGAGTCTAACTCCCTGCTCAGCTGAAGTAGTCCAAGTAATCTAACGACATAACTTGGTCGATAACTTGGTTGATATAACTGGATTATGGGTGGGTTTGTAGGGGGTTGTGGGATTACAGCGAACGGCAGTTATCTCATTAGTCAGGCAGTGTTTGATTGATAGTAAGTCGTGAAGAATTCTAAGAATAATGTAAGTAGAAATGTCCTACTGTTTCATTGTACACCACTAGGCACTACCTGCAAAACAACCGTTTTAGTTCACCGTTACAAACATCCATTCCAAAACAACAAGTGTTTATTCGATGTAGACTGCCTTAGTTTGGTGAATGTTTGTGCGTTAGATGGGCACTATAAATAGTTTTCCGTCGTCGACCTGAAATCCATGGTGGGAAGTCAGTTAAGCTATTTGTAGGGTCGACCTCTTCCAACCCCTTCCTTTTAATACGGGGAGGTAGTATCGCTCTGAATTATGGCTGTGTTAGGGAAACATCTACCTGCCACCATACTCCGAAACACTCAGCAATATGATCATGTTGTCGAAACTCTGGAACTTGTACAAAATTCGTTTCGTGAGCAAACCAAAAAGAGCAACGGTACTTTTCTTCTTCAAATAAATCTTCTAGTGCTGATTGTATTCAGAGGTGAAAAGGTTTTTTCGCTTTTATTTAAGCCGGATTTTTCTGTAACGGTTACACACAAATCTCACCTCTTTGTGTTCAGTATCTATAACCTTTGAAGCCTTAAGACACTTATTATAGAGGTCAGTTTTTCTGTTTGTTTATTTTTCTTGCGCTCTAAGAAATTATTTATTGTTCTCTCCGTGTGATCACTTAACAATATTAAAACAACGTCAAGGTAGACCCGCTTGCTATTTCCTGGCCGATGATGGAATACAAAGTAACAGCTGAAACAGGTGTTATCACAACGTATGCACCAGACTCACACCTGTTGAAAGTCACGATCACACTGGCTGCGCAAAGCATGCCGTTCTACAAAGTTTCTGCCAACTTTTGAGGTGATTGAACGGCCAGAAGTATATGATCGCTTTCAGTTTTTGAAGAAGCAGAGAGTGTTATAATGAGCCCAGCTTTATATTTGAATGAAACCATAAGGGTGGACAACAATAACGTAACGGATAACGAATGCATGGTTACAAGTAAAAGGAAAAATCACGCTAAGAAGAAACATAGTATAGGGGACTCCAAGTTATGTTGGTCAACGTTTTCAGCTATAGATACCCATATCGGCGCAAAATAGATTATGGGGGAGCACAGCCTGAGTGGTTTAGATGATGTGATCAAGAGATATAACACGACCAATGATTGGTCCACAGTTGCACTCAGAAAAGTACAGAAACAGAATGAGACATTGTCGTCTGACGCCAAACCGGACTGCAGGCATGAGTAGATTGTAGGAAAAGAAACTTCAAAGACAAACCATGATGAAATGTCAGTCATTTCTCATAAATCAAGAGAGTCTTCCAATACGAAACCAAAGGCTAGGTTTAAACACTATCTGGGCCACACTAAGTCCTTAATAAGCAAGTTATATCCAGGTGTTAGCATCCATAAGTTTTGTAGAGTAGGAAAAATAACTGATTCTGAAAGTACTCAGAAATTCCACCTTATTGGGGAGACCCGGAAAAAGACTAGATGGTCCTGAAAACACTAGGAAACATTTAATTCAATCAGCATCGACTACAAGCTTCTCGGAAATATCTAGAAGGGGAGGTGTCATGTGTCATATTTCTGAGTGCTTCGATGTTTAGAAATATTTCAGAGCTTTCCAGAAGCATAAGACAATCTGAAATGCTGCAAATACCCTCGTTTTCCTGTGCACAAGCTGACCTTTGAGTAAAGCGTTCCTTCGTGCCTTTTCTCAAGTGTTCAAGTTGACATGTATATATGGCCTAGGGGCTGCTAAAAGAACATAGAAAACTGAAACAAGACTTCAGTCAAAAGATTTACTACATATCCTGAAATTTACCTTTTGCTTCTGGTGAAGAAAATTCGGGTATAATCACTTGACTCCGAATATATGTTTGTGAGGATCTCGAGACGATTGCCAGAAGTAGAAATAAATGAGCACCACCGGAACAGTGAATAAACCTTATACTTAAAAGTTTCCAAATTCTAGATATTCAGGGTAAAACGATCCCAAATCACTCTAGGTGGTATGAGAAAGTTCTTCATAGAAGTAAAGTATGCTATACAAATGCTCTCAGATTACTTAATAAAATGGAGGAACCCAAAACAGTGGTAGACACAGAAAACCCTGATGTTATTGCTATCTCAGAAGCATTATCCAAGTCAGAAGTGCATGACAGTGCATGCCAATCGTCTGGTTTCTTACTTAGTATGGCTAACAGATTAAACCGTAGGGGTGGTAAGGTTATCTTGCACGCGAAATTTACATTAACCGTACGGTGGCACATTTCTGGCAGTTATACAATTATGTAATTGAACCGTTTACACTCTGAACTGTCCCAAAGAAGAAGAAACACGTCCACCCCTGGATAAGCCGAGATATTCGACGTTTACTAGGAATGTAGCTATCAGTATTGACACAGCAAGTACGACGAAACACTACAAGTCGATACGAAATAAGTGTACAATTTCAATCAAGAAAGCTCAGCAATAATATGAAAAGCAGTTGGCCCAATCTGTAATAAAAAGCAACCTAAGAGACTATTCTCGTACATAAACCATAGAACAAGGACGCAGCATTCGACTTTTACAACCTAGTCACGAAAGGGAGTGGATCCTGGAAATCATACAGAGGGCAGGCGCGTGCAATTTCAGAGCTCCTAAGTTTACCATGCAAAAAGCAGTTTGTAAGGTTAAACTTCTCTACTCTGTTCTACCACAGATTAATAGGTGACCTGATTTTGATGTACAGAATACCAGGAAATGATTTTCGACTTGTTATATCGTCTCTTTTTCTTCCCACTAGATCGGAACATCTCAGAGATAGTATCAGACGAGAAGAAAAGTCAAGAACGAACAAACTACCTGTGGCATACAAGTTTTCACACCAAGTCATCAATTCCTGGAAACTGTTACCCGAAACAGTGGTGTCCGCACCTTTAATTGACTCATTCGAGAGAAGACTAGACACTCAAAGAAGCTTACTAGAAAAGGACTGACATAGGCCGTAGGCCTTCTATCCTTACTACACAAATCCGAAACCGAAGCCTGGAAAATGTTGACTTTAGTGTTACCGATCTATAAATAACCGGTCTGATATGGTAAGACCTAAAGGAAAGTTCTGTCCAGTCAACTTATTCAACTTACACCATGAAGGTTTGTAAACCTAACCACTAAGCTAGGGTAGCAGCTTTAGTCAAGTGTCCACAAGTCTCTTCAGAATGATGTCTATACAGACATGGTTCGGTTGAAAGAATCTTCTAGATAAAGCAAGCTACTGAACGCCTGCTTGAGGCAAAGTGGGGAGTTGGAATGTATAAAGATTTCCGTCAATGCGTATTCGGTAATAAGGAGCGAGTGAAATATAGAAGTGTCGGAAGAAAACCTGCCCAATAAAAACCTTGCCTCCAAACCATGGGCGAACGAAAAGTAACTACGTTAGTTATGGCTCAGAGAACACTAAAAGGGGATATTCAGTTGTTTTTGGACTTCAAGATGTGATATTTATGAAACACGAAGTCGCTGAAGATCTGTGGTTCTCCATTACAATGGTTTTTACCAAATAACTCGGTAAGTCGTCTCGTAAGCTATTGAGACGGAGGATCGCACTGTACTATGATAAGGTATGTGAATACTCAGTTTAAAGAATAGGTCGATAGCTGCCGTCTACCACTTCCCTTATTTTTGTGACTTTCTAAAGCCTAAAGTAACTTGAAATACGTCAGTGAAACTCGATTTAGAAGTTCTAGTACAACAGTTAGGTTTCATTGAATAATACGACACACTTGCGAAAGACTCAATTCGTATTCTCCAAGGTTATCCTTGTAGCGTCTGTCAGTTTAGAAATAGTATAGTTTTGGATTTATTTTCTTGTCATATTGAAATATCATCATGTAAAGAGAGAGATATTCAATATTGTTTTTGTTAGCCATGCTTTGCTCCCTTAAAGAAGACTTGAAATCCCTAGAAATTATACTAGCTAGCACTTCAACACGTCGAAAAGAAATACTCGGAAACATTGTAATTCATTTATCTGACTAATTAGTCATTATATTTAGGGTCTAAAATTCTCCTCTGTTTGTCCTGATGTTGAAGAGTCACTGCCTTCAGAAAACTTTCAATCAATACCAGCTCATATCGAAGCCATAGCTAAACTTAAAGTGGATGCAGTGGTGAACACTTTGGATATCAGTAAAGTTTGTTCACTTTTTTATGTTCGTATTAATGAAAGCGTAACTATGTAGTCATAGGAGCAGATACTGTGGTATGTTTTGAAGGTTGTATTTTTGGAAAACCATCAAGTCACGTGGATGCTGTAAATACACTTAGTCGGTTTGTGACACATTTAATCTATAACATTTGTAGTTTGAGTGGGAACGTTCACCAAGTGATAACCGGTGTATGTTTAAAGTGGATTGTATCTGGGAAAGAACAGAAAATTGATCAATTTCATGAAGTAACTAATGTAAAGATGATTGAATTAAGTCCTCTCATTATTGAGGGATATGTTCAGTCTGGAGAGCCAATGTATGTCTCCAGGCGGAGTAATTATGATTTTACTAGCATCATTCTCATTTCAGAGCAACATAGATTAGTGGTAACTGTTACCTATTTTCTCTAACGGTTTGAGATAAGTTGCTTAACTGCTAAATAGGTATTATCTGTTTCATATCAGTAGACAGTAGGATACATAATTTTCACAGATAGGTAGCATGACTAGGTTCATGTCTTATTGTGCTAGCCTGTGTTGTATAACTTAATCCCATTCAACTATTTGGAAACTAACAATTTATTGTAAAATTGATCAGTGGAAGTAAAACGAGCACACTGCAAGCACTTGACCATGTAGGTATTTTCTAATTGTAGTTTGAATCTAGCGAAATTACTAATCAATAATATGCTAGGTGAGAGGTGGAAATCGACTGATAAGGCTATAAAATGTCACCATTGTATGTATTTGAAACACGTTTTACTCATCTCTAGTCACCTCTTACTCTGGCATACATCACTAACCAGTATAAAAGTAGGTTAAGAGAAAGCCACCGTTAGGTCGCTCACAACCTACCACTATCACATAAAGTCATTAACTTTTGGTCTGTGTCATGTTAGAAGATAGAGATTTCCTGACCAACACTGACAAAACAGTAGGGAGTATACTCACTACATCTATAGCTGAAGCTGGTAGCTGTTCCTGGATGATGTCTCAGTTGGATTCATTCTCAATCCTCCCTTAAGTTTTGCTTCAAATCAGCTGCCGAAAACTTTAGTAGATCTACTTATTTGTCTTAATCCTTCAGATAATTACTTAAGTTTTTTCATTGCATTAATTATTACAATCCTCATCATCCTATTTCAGGGATAAAGCTGGAGCTTATGGTATTCAGGGGTTAGGTTCAAGTTTAATTGAGCGAATCGATGGAGATTATTTCAGTGTTGTTGGTTTACCAGTCTGTCGACTTTGCAAGTACTTAAAAGCTGGATGTGAAGAAATAGTGTCTAAATTGTTAGACACAGAATTTTTATCCAGTCGAGTAGATGTTCCCGAGAAATAACTTAAATGTTAGTGAATATTCTGTCACTTTAAACTGGTGAAATGCTGTCCTAATTTGCTGAAAAATTAAATATTCATATTTTTGTTCACTTGTGTGATCATTATACAAGTGAAGATTGTACTTCTTCCACTGTCACCTTGGGTTTTTTAGCTAGGTATTTCGCAAATAATGTTCTGCACTTTCAGTGTGTGTGTGTGTACGTTAAAATCCATATCGTCAGTAAAATATGGTGTAAAGTATATGAAGAACCATGAATTTCATCTAAATGCAACTCACTAATCAAGTACACCGTCCATGTACTCATCTTTGAATGCGTAAGACTTCGAGATGCAATTGCTTAAACTGATATTTATGTACCGACTTTTTAAAATTTGATCCCTTTTTTTCATACTCGGTCAGTAGTATTAGATAAAAAAAACTTGCACAAGTGTGCTTAGGTTCAAGTTACTACATTTCATATGAGAGCAGAGAGGAGAAAGCAGTTGTAAAAACTAAATATAGAGAAAAGCTTAAAAGAACAAATGAGATGTAGAAATATGAGGTATAAAATAATGTAGAAACTTGTTATGCAGAATAATATAATGAAATGGACCTGAGACACAACAAATGATTTCAGCTCGTACTTTCTAATATTTTCAGCCAGTGATCATAATTTTGGTACAAAGCACAATCAGGAAGTTTACGCTCACACTGTTCATAACAAGTCAGTCACCCTATGGGTTGATTCTAAGTTTGACATGGCTACCTCATATGCTGACCACTACTTTATGTGAGGCCATTCCCAGTATATGTCAGCGTTATTGACTCTGTCGTTAAACCACTAAACTAGCGATATGATTATAGTTTTAGGTCGGAATCGAAGTAACTTATAGCTATAAAAATCCATTCACTCTGAATATCTTTAGCGTTTTACTCCTTAGATACAAATTGATTTATGTATTTAATTCATCTTGTATTTGTTATAGTTCAGACAATGAAGAGATAGGCTTTTACATTGCGGTTCTAGATCCAACCGTTCCAAGTCACTAGTCGACGTCTAGTTTATTAAATACCACTGAATATTAAGCATGTTTGTGACTTCACAAGCAAATACCGAGACTTATTTGTGTTATTGCTGTACAAACATATTTGTTTTACTAACTGCAAATACGTGTTTCTTATTGAATCTGTAAGTAAGCCTGTAAGCTGGGTTTCGTCCTAGTTAATGTTTCATAGTTGGAAGTGTCTCCAGGATCTAGGGAAGTAATGTCTTTATGAATATTAATCTGCATCACTTCAAATCAAAGTCTTGTTTATTACCACCGAACTCTTTAGTAACCTGGTAAGATTGTTAGTCAGTGATACGTGGGAGTCGTTGCTTAGTTATTTTTCTTACTAAACCATAGGTTGTCATCATACCCAAGAGGATTATTCTCTAAGTTAAACCATGATTACAGCTTAGATTTTATAAAGCCAGATTCCAATTTTTATCATAATGAATGATTGTCGAATGTCTAAAAATTGAAACACATCGATGATATCCTCCTTTTCGATTCAGTGTTGAGCTAATTGACTGTTTAAAGCTATAGTACCTTTTGGTTTCCTGCTTTTTTGGAAATTTGTAAATACAAACCTAGTGCATGTGCTTTGGAAAATACATGTAAATTTACAAATGTAGTCGAAGGTACTTACGAAAACTACTTATTGAATTTTGGTCTGCTTTGGTAAGTAGTTCGTTTAAGATGATGAGCCCTGCCTCTGTGAAAGCAGTCTATCGTTTTCTCTGAGATTAATGAATCCAATAGTTACATCCACTTTAAGGTTATGGTCTGGGAACTAAGGCTTTTTAACTGCATCGTACTTGTGTTTGTTCTGAATTTTCCCGTACTTATGAAGAATAAAAAATAGGTTGTGCAAGAAAGTGAAAAAATATACTAATGGTTATACAGGTTCAGTTTTACGTTTATAAGTTCAAGAATAAAATAATTGATCTTCTTGCATTTAAACTTAACAAGCGTTATGTTTTTATATTAAACTATCATCCTCACAATGGTATTAAGCATCTGTAGTGTAGCATTAATTATTAAGTAAAATGATCCGCCAAATTTTAACGAGAAAAGTGTATTGAGTTGCCAGTAAGATTCTATTAAAAGCAGTAAGCATAATTGATACATATATTTTGTGAAGTCCCAAGGGTATTTTGTCAATAAGATGAACCGTGAATTAGTATGAAAATCTTGTGTTCGAGAAACCAATTTGATCTTTGTTCGCTACTTTTTATCTCAAACGTCTGATCTGCATTAGTTTTGTATTCTGTTAATTTCAGTTCGACTGTTGTTTTTCTATAATTACAGTCATATTGTGATATTTCACTTGACGAAAAACTTACACATATGTATATATATGTATATTAGCACTAGGCATTCTACTAATCTTCTATTGCAGAATATCTTGTGAGTTTAAGTTTCAGATAGGGTTCACTTGTAAGAACAACTAATGATTAAATTGGAACCTATATAAAAAGTCCTCTTAATAAAATATGACTCAAATTACATTATAAAACTGTCTAGTGTCGTTAAACGGTAGTGCTTTTCTTTGTTTAATACTGTACTACTTCAGTCAGTCAGCTACAACGCAGGTCCAGATATATATATGCATCGGTCGAAGTTACCATGCCGCATTAGCAAGGCAAGATGAACACCGAATTCATAGAAGTAGTTAATTCAATGGGGGTAATATATAAAAGATGGCAATAAGGATATACTACAGGAAGAAAGAATTAGTTCGTAGAAAGAAATATATGAAGTGATTTTAGTCTCTTAGTTTAAGGGAGGACAGAGAGTGTATATACCTACGCTATTGTGATCGATGCTAAGCCATGTCACCCACAGTCTCTAACCATTGATTACGATAGTCACGCGGACCCCAGTCAAGTAGTCTGCATCTATCAATATGGCTCAGACCAAAAGTTAGTGTCTTCAAGCACTGATGCCACGTTTTGTTTTGGCCGCCCCTAACTTTCTTCCAACCATCCCCAACAATAATCAGCATTGCACTTCGTGATAATCAGTGTTCAGGCATACGCAACACGTAGCCTAACCATCTCAGTCGATGAAGATTCACAACCTCATCAACTGATTTACCATCATTCCCCAATACCCTGTGTCTATCCTCACTATTACTTAACCGGTGATCCCAGAAGATGCGAGCAATATTTCTAAGGCATCTGTGGTCAAATACTAGTAGCTTACGAGTATCTTCTACTCTTAGTGGCCATGTTTCGCTGCTGTAAAGTAAAACAGAACGAACTGCCGCACAGTATTCTCGTCCTTTTATTGATAGACGGATATCTCGCCTTCGCCATAGGTGACGTATGTTGGCGAAAGCCAAACGAGCCTTTATAATCCGTGCTGAGACTTCGTCAGACACGAACCCTTTAGGGCTGATCAGACTTCCAAGATAAGTGAGGTTGTCAACGCGTTCGACTACTCCACTCCCTATCCTTAGTTCATGTGTTGACAAAGGCCAATCCTGAAGCAACAATTTGCATTTAGAGGGAGAGAAGCGCATTTCAAACATTCTGGCATTGTTGCTTAGTGCTACCAAAAGACTGCATTTTATCAGCGTCTTCACCAAACAGGACTATGTCATCTGCGTATTCTAAGTCGATAATTGGACCTCCTAGAAGGAGATCAACACCCGAGAATTCAGTAGACGAGAATGTTATTTCAATCAGTAGGTCTATGATGAAGTTGAACAAAAATGTGGAAAGTGGACAGCCTTGACGGACACCACTTGAGGTTTCAAAAGCAGATAACAGTTCGACATAAGCTCTGACTCGACTAGTAGTCTTCGAGTAAAGAGCTCTCGCAAGGTTTATGTACTTCTGAGGTACACCTTTCAGTAACAGACACCGCCACAGAACCTCTTGGTTTACTGACTCAAATGATGCTTTTAAGTCAAGAAAAACTATCATTGTCGGACGCCGATAAGTATGCCTGTGTTCTAGAACCTGACGAATGGTGAATATGTGATCGATCCGGCCACGACCAGGTCTGAAGCCAGCTTGATTCTCTCGTGTTTGCAGTTCACGAATCTTAGTTAGGCGTCTGATAATCATCGAGGCTAGTATTTTAGATACTATATTAGGTAAACTAATCCCTCTATGGTTGTCACAGGATGATTTTGGCCTTTTCTTATATATTGGGACGATAAGTTATTGTGACCAGTCAGATGGGATAACGTCTAACTCCCAGATTTTAGCTAAAATATTAGTCAACCTAATCGCTAAAATTGGACCACCATCCTTAAAGACCTCTGAAGCCAATCCATCTAGACCATCTGCTCTTCCTCGTTTCAGATTAGCTATAGCCTTTTGAACTTCTGCTAGAGTTGGGGGACCTACTTCAATGTTCCATTCACATTGTCTGGGAATGGAGGGTAGTTGTAGAGTAGCTGAACTCTTCTTTAAAATGTTCCGCCCATCGTTCTAAGCATGTGGACTGGGAGTAGATGAGAGTGTCGTCTTTTTCCGAAATAGTCTGACTTACACTTATTAACTCCAATTTCTTGTATTAGTCTGTAGAGCTGTCTTGTGTTCCCTATAGCCACCGCCTTTTCAATCTCTTGCTTTCGTTGATCACCACTGCTCACGGTCTTTCCTTAGACTTTTGCTTAACCTGGATCTGATTCGCTTACGCTCTTCATCATGTTCAGAACCTGATGGGATGAGTTTACGAGAATCCATCAGTGCAACAGACCTTGAAGAAATCCATTGGTTCTTTGTAACTCTGTGGTTTAAATCCCTTATAGATGTCACTGCTGTCTCCACAGCTGTTTGTATATCTTTCCAAGCAACATCTGGGTCAGCCTCGTTTTCAGAACTACCTAAGTATGACCTCAGTTGTTCCTGGAACCTGCTTTTGGTTTTCTTGTTACTCAATTCAGTTATAATGGGTCTACTTAGTGTGGCTTTTTTGCGTCCAGTGAGGCGCAAGCAGATGCGTGCCCGTATTAGGGCGTGGTCAGAGTCCAAGCAGGTACTCCAGAATGAGCGACGATCTTCTATCGAACTTCTCCAACGATGACTGATAGCAATATGGTCTATTTGAGTCCATCGTTGGTTTGGTGCAGGGGGTCACCATGTTAGACGATGTCTGTCCTTATGCTTAACATTTGTGTTTGCTAAAAATAAACGATTGTCTGAGCACAGTTGCAGCAAATGGTCACCATTATCTGTTCTCTGAGCCAGAATACTAAAATACCCACTTAAATGTCTTTCTCTTTGGTTTAAGCTACCTTTCTGTGCATTAAAGTCCCCTGCTACGAGTACTATGTCTGAACGTTTAGCTTTCTGTAAAACTCATCTTTCACTTCATCTGAGCTGCAGTCAATGGGAGCGTATGCAGAAATGACAAAAAGACAACGACGTGTGTCCCTTTCCTTCCGAATTCTTACGGAGCCTTTAGCCGAACAGCACATAAACGACTGTAAACGGGGATCCACTCTAACAGTCCTTGTTCCGCCCTCATGCTTAGTGCTATGCCCACACCTGCCAGCCATCGGGTCATCAGATATATGTAGGGTGTACCTCGTTAGCTCTCCGTTTTTACAGTGGTCTTGAGTTCTGTTAGAGGTATGAGGGCGGTTTTCACTCCCCGGTTGCCCACACCGTGAAAGGGTTCTTCTGGAGGTACCTGGAAAGGAAATTAGATTAGAGGTGGTCTTAGTGATCTGAGAGCGTGACCGCAGTGCCCAAGGGACAACTGCTTGAGGTCGGTCACACACGACCTTTTATGGGTAATTTTTGTGTTAGTTCCGTACTTGTTGAGACCTTACCGGCGGAGACGGATATCCATGGGATAAGGTGAGGTGTGTATTTTTAGGGTCGACCTTTTCTAACCCCACCCCTCCTTGTGGGAAGGCAGCATCGCTGTCATGCTGGTTGTCTGAAGACAGTACCTTACTGCTGTCACAACTCTGTACAGTCAGTAGTACGACTTCGCCTTCGGACCTTAGTTTTGTTGCTTTTAGTCTTACCGCTCTTTTGTCGATCTGTCTTGCATAGTAGGACAGGACTGTACTACTTAATTATAATCAGTAGTTCAAAGTACAGTACATAGGTCATCCACCTGTGTACTGTTACCATAAATAACATTTCTTTGGTTTCGCGGAAGAACTTCTCCTTTTTATATTCTCGTTTTACCAATTTATTTCTGTAACCAATAATCTGATTATTGTTCTTTTCAGTTATTTATTCATTCTGGTGTGATCCAGTTTAACACATTGTCATGAATGACCCGTCTATTTTTCGACTGTGTATTCAAACTCTATTTTCTTTTGATTGTCAATAATCCCCTTGAAACATCTATGTCTTCCGACTTCCTGTAATCTTGTTCTTATTTGCTTGTCTGAATTAAGCTCATTCTCTCCTTACTTCTGACGATGTAATTGGTGTCTGAACGCCTAACTATTCACGGTTGTAAATGATAGTAATTCTGTGTTATTACTGTACTTCTAAATAAATATCACCTTTTGGTCTCGGGGTATAATAGATAACGCGGTCGTTGATTAAGGACGTTCTTACAGATTTTACAAATCAAGTTGGATGAGTGATCTTCAAATCGAACCATAAGTCACAGACTTTTGGTTGATTTGTAAATTACTATCATGTTCTCTTATTCCGAAATTAATGTGATTCAAACATAGTCCTTATGCTTCTTTTTCTCTACACCGGTGCTCCTGTTTGATAAATCATTTTTTTCACTCCCTATCCTTTACGGTCTCGCTATTCGTTAGTTCCCAGGCAAACAAAACAGGAGAAATAGACGCTAAGTTTGGGGAAATACTGGGAAAAATCCTCAAGAAAATTCGGTGTCAATATAGAGACTTTTTTCCACAACCCAAGGCAAATAGTGCGAATTTTCCCCGAATGCCCTGGTAGGACAAAGGGGTGGAGAGAGCTCTCTGTATACAGCCACTGCCACAGAAGTCCTACTCATTGCCTTCTCGTGATGGGAGAAGTTGTTCGGCGCTTTAACCGGGATAGTGAAAATGGAGGGCCCACCTTGAGGAGTTGGAAAGCCTTGATCCCAAACTAATAGTACACACGGACTCCAGGATCCTGACGGAACAATTGACGTATGAATCTAATGTTGGTCACCGGCTACCATGCAACTGCATCTCCTAACGTCGCTCTACTGCCTTGTGGATTAGACCTTTAGGTCAAATGCTCTGGAAGTTGCCCTTTTAGAAAATCACCTGCTTTGGTTTGGCCACCCGGGCGGTATCACAGCCGTCATACAAACCAAATAATGATTATTGCCGGAAAAATTATTCTTGCTCAAATGCGCATTCAAACAAATTTCACTCACAATCATTTGATAACATTTGTTTTCATTTCCCTTTATTCTCATTTTGCGTATTAAGTGTTTCTCAGTTTATACAGCAGCTCACCTATGGTGCGAGGCCTATCCTATCTAGAAGATCTCGAGTCACTGACTGGTCGAAAGGTGGATGCTACCACTGACTATGAATACTGAAACAGTCTTTCCGAAACCACATATGCCACTGAAACTGGCTTCCTTCAACATTCGAACACTAATACAGATTGAACAACAGATAGGGTTGACTATGTCATAAGAAAGTCTTAATATCGACGTCTGTTGTGTATCCGAGACCTATATTCACGACTAGTGAAATATGACGAGTTCTCTTTCCATCTGTCGCTTCAAATAGCTGTTTTTATGTGTGTCTATACAGGGACCCTGTAGCCCCGTCCAGTTTCGCTGGCGTCGTTGTTACACCAAGCTCTGGACGTGAGGCAAGATTTATTGGTTGGGTCCCCGTTAACAGTCTGTTATGTACTGTTAGATTAGGAAGCTCCATCAAAACGAGAGACGATGTCTTTTCGTCATTTCTACCTACGCCTCAACAGATTGCAGTACAGATGCGATCAAGGATGACTTTTACCACCAGTAAACAGTTCTATGAAAAGTACTTTCGACAGATGTCATACTAGCCGGAGATTGAATGCTCAGGCCGGTTTACTTGGCACGGGATAGAGTCAATAGGGACTTGTTGGTCGCAGGTCGAATGACGGTAAATGTCTACTGCAACTGTACGCAGACTACAACCTGTCTCTGGCTAGCACCTACTGCCGACACATTCATCATCGATGTGTTACCTCGCAGTAAGCCACCGCTGGAGTGCTTATGTACAAAACTGCCGCTCCTCTTAGAGTACCTATCTGGTTTTTGACCATGTTGTTGTTTGCGATAATCTCTCCTTACACCTCAGTAGTCAACAAATTCATCGTCCTAGACAGGTCGATGTCAACAAATTAGTTACAGTCTCTCTTGCAACGAAATATCGAGCAGATTTGCGTCCAAGGCTAGCTACCATCCCACTGAAAAGTACAGATAACCACTGGCTGCATCTGCGTGACGCTGTAGTGTTGGTTGCCATGTCAAGCCCACAGCTTATTCTCGCTCCCAGAAAGGACAATTTACTCATTCTTCTTGAGTTACATTTTGATCGTGTTAATTATTCGTTCATCGACCTTGACTGTTTTTATATGAATGTATAAGTGTGCATTTCTTATCTTACTCGTCACACGTCTGTAGCTTATTTTTGTGTGACTATAAATATCGACCGACGCTTGCTCAAAACAAGTTGGCTCACACGCTTTCTCCACTGCGTTCAAACTTCATTCTGGTATTTGACTTATTTAGTCCCGTTATTCGCTAATGCGAGTTCAGGTGATAATTGTATGTCGTAAATAACGACATGCAAATTTCGATAACAAGCAGCAAGCGATCTACTTAGAGTCAGATAAATGGCGATTAAAGTCTCTTACGACTTGTAAGCAATTGGTTTTCTCAAGCTTCATGTAACTGAGTGAAGCCCCTCTGTTTACTCTGGATAACCGTGAGTGATCAAGAAGACTGTTGTTTATTGAAATTGGGCTAAGCTTGAGTAAGGACCAAGGATCTTCATGATGGGGGCGTGCCAGATAGTTGGGGGCAGCAGCTGAACCTGGTGACTGCCGTAAGCTCTTCCAACTTATCCGAGTCACTGGCAGCAGGAAGTTTGATGTGAGCGTAACAACCCGTAGGGATGACAGCATCGCCAACATCTACCAACGTCTTGGCCAGTGAGCAGAGCTTTCCGAGGAACAGTTAAACTAGTCTGCTTCCTCGATGACATCGATCAGACTGCCTTTGAGTATGCGGATGATATTGTTTTACTGTGCGATGATACCCAAGCCATACAATCCGCACTTAATCAGTTGGCAATTAGTATCCGTAAGTATAATATGTGCTTTGCACCTTCGAAGTGCAAAGTGCTTTTACAAGACTGGTAGGACCCTGATCCTGCACTCACCCTGGGTAGTGAGCAGGTAGAAGTTATCAAGAAGTTTGTGTATCTAAGTAGCTTCATAAGTGCTGCTGGTAGCTTGAGTGATGAGATCGATTCACGCATAGTGAAAGCCAGAGTGGTCTTTGCCAATCTGTGCCATCTTCTGTGTTTTCGTGATGTTGGTCTGGCTGCAGAAGGTCGGATCTATAACGCATCGGCGAGAACAGTTTTGCTCTACACTTGTGAAACCTGGCCTCTCTGATGTTAGACGACTAACCATGTTCGATCATCGTTGTTTCCGAAGGATTTCCGACACCATGTTGGTAATGCAGAGGTTCGGTATTGTGTGTGCGGGAACAACGACGATGACTAAATCATTGTATTTCATGACTCCTTGATTAAGGTCCTAGAGATGGTGCAACACAGTGACTTGACTAAATCGAAATATTTTTACGGTAGATGTTAAATACAGATAGTGTATTATCAAATGTTTGTAAGACAATACAATTCCATTCCTTCTGTCTCAAATTCGAATTCTTGATTAAGTTTGTCAATGGTCTAGCTCATTTGGGAAATATAGTGAATCGCTGAACTATTTCAAGTCCACATATGGTGCCACTGTGAATTTTTAACTCTGTGTTTCACACATAATTTCAAGAAAGTTAAAATACTGATTTATTTCATGACCATTATCAGAGGAAAACCCTAGAAGCACTACAGAATCTTATATACCCCGACAAACCTATCTGACTTCCGTTCAATAAACCAGAGGGATTACCTACGGGTCATCTTCACATTATGTCGTTCAAATCACCCGAGAGAGCACAGTTCCATAGACTACTTCCTGTTCCGAATAAGTCGACGTTAGATTTTATATTACAGCTCCAGTTGCAGGCTTCTAGGTATTAGTCCATGCACAACTACATACCAAAATTCTCAACCGCCTGATTGTTGTAATAAATGACTCTAAATTAGATTAGCAACTTATATAAAAAATTAATTTTCAAACCAATAAACGTTTCCTTACGACATAAGGGGATGTTAAAAATGGCTCTAAGGTTGTCTTGAAGCACACTGTGTCGTATCATCGTATGTAAATAAGTCTATTACAGTATGGTTACCTTAGATCCCTTTCATTAGTAACCATACCACTCTATTCGAAAAGAGTAATAAAAAAACACTTTCAACTTTTCTTTGGATAACAAACCCTGTTTTTCATGTGATGGATTGACAGTCATCTAGTACTACCTGTGGAAGTACTTACTACTTAGTGCAGATGTTATTAACTGATGCATACATGATTCATTTACTTCTGGTTGGTGGTGATAGTATCGGATCGATTTTTCCCAAAATGAATCTGTTGTTTTTTATATGGATGTCCTTCAAAGTCTAAAGTATTGTGCTCGCTGGTATCACTCTCCATCAGTTACTTAGATGGTTCATTACAAAGTGAAGGGAGTCAGTGTGCCAATGTTCCTACCATAGTTAGTGAATACAACCCACCTGTGTCAACAAATGAATTTTTCACTTTTATCATTTCGAACAGTATAGGGAGGATTTTGGCTGCTTGTTATGCATTAACATGTACACCTGACAATTTTCTATAAGTGAAGCTAATCAAACTGAAATGCAGACATTTGGAGAACAGTCACTCATTCTGGATCTCGTTTATGAAGTCATGTCAGTCTGGTGTTCGTAACAGTTAACATTAGCAATGTCATTTGGAATGCACTCTTCATTAGTCAATATTATTTTATGGTGGACGGAAGCAAGAACGTTTATTGACACCTGAACTATTAGTGAGACTCATAGCGTATGAAAAGAACAGAGAAACAGAGGCCACGATAAACAAAAGAAGCTATTTTTAGGATAGTATTTCACTTAATCCAAAAGCTGAAATATGATGATGTTTAGTATCATACGTGATTTATTCTATGAACCACAAGCTTTCGCTCAAGGCCTTACCCTGTTCTATTCCATAGTTACTGTAATCTAAAAGTCACCTTTTGTAATTAACATCACCATCCTACAGTTCAATTCGGACATAGGGATAGATTTTTAATTGTTTGTGCATTATGATCATAATAAAAATCTGTTGATTAATATATCTTCTCACACTAATCCGAACCAGTAAAATAATGAGTGATGTTCCAGTTGACTCGTCTTCTCTTCCTCTCTTGTCAACCAATCAGATTATAAAGTTGTTTTCATCTCTCTGGTGTTGGTCCGTCTGTCTCGATTTGGACTCACACGTTTCTAGTCTCTAGATTGAATCGTTTGGTCTATTATGTCAGGGCCTTAATCTAGACCGTTGAAAATTTTCTCCTGTACACTATTGGGCGAACGGATAAAGGACGTTGCAGTATCCATTCGAACTACTACATATTTGGACCTAGAATGAACACTATTTTGAGTAATGTTTCCCTCAGCAATGTCCAATAGTACTGAAAACAATCTAAAACATTCTGTTTCGTTGACAATGCATAAGGCCAAGTATTTCACCATACTAACGGTATTATACGGGGACAAAAAACATGACATTGGTTTGTTTTTCATTAGTTTGTGATACATAAACTCATTTTAAAAAGTACTCACATTGGTTGTACCTGGTGGTTATTAAAGGTTAATTTTGTAATGTTGTATATCATGATTGGCAGCAAAATCCGACCTGAGGCCTCCTTGCCGAGCTTCCGGATAGTAAGGGCAACCTCGCTAGTCGACTTGAGTAGTCGACGGGGTTTGACTAATCCATCACCCTGTTACACACTGGACTGCCCGAGCACCGACTCGAGGGTTATCTAACCGTATCACGCTACTTGATATGTATACTCGTGTACATGAGATGCAGAAGTCCCTGGACCTACATAGTCCATTTTTGTAGGTATTTGTAAAAGGTGCGCGTTTGGTGTCATACAACAGAGACGTTAGTGAAAAAGTTGTCTCCCCTATATCTAGCGTAAGCAATGGCCTAATCTTTCAGGTCGAAGACATAAGAAAAAGATACGTCGGCGAATTCTAGGAGGAGGCGACTAACAAACTTCGTTGAGAGAATGCTTATGTTTATGTGTGTCATGAAGTACTGGAGTGACAGCCTTAGGCTAAATGACATGCACGTAGTGTATAAGAGACAGTCTGCTGCACAAAATACGTTTCAGCGAGTGAGGTGGACATCTTTCGCACTAAGTGGTTGAATATGCATATATGTATTTTGTGGGGTGCACGGACTAAATCCTGTGTGTTACTGGTATGCATGCAACGTTCACAGAGTAGGTATATCAGTATGTATACAAAGGGGTAGGCAGGTGAATGTTCGCATGCCACTTAGTATGCACATAGACCATATCTATTCAGGGTAAGTAAAAACCTCAAAACATCCTTTGCTTATTCTTCTTGGTATGAAAACTACACTCATTGATCTGCGGGACAGCGGTTCCCGACTAAATCACATTCACGCGATGGGTTTGTGGGCCTCAGAAACGCGGAATCCGTTCCTAATGTTCGGACCAGTAGCTAGCAGCACTCGAGATGTCTTTGTTTCGCAACGGTAGAAGAACAGGAATGAGGGGTAGAGAAGACCTGTATCTGCGATCTTACCAGTAAATTACGTTTACAACTAAGAATTTATCAATTTCGATCAGTCCATATGATGTTCAGTAAGATTGTGTTACACCATGAGGTGTCTATAGGAAGCTGACTGCTGACATCGATTTTGACAATCGCATGCTTGAAGGATTATACCGATGTACGAGTCTCGGATACACTCATACTCTGATTCTAGGAGATTTCAATCTTCCTAAAGTCAACTTTCGCCGAACATACGCACACTGGAGGTGAAAACTTTACTGAAACTCGGTTCTTCAACCCCATTGAAGATCGGTATTATTCAGAAATGTCAAATCGGCAACTCGTCGGAGAAACAGTCAGATGCCGTCGCGCTATTCTGTGTGTTTACAAACGAAGAACTCCTAATTGACAACCTGTCGATCCAATCTCCCTGCGGACAAGTGAGCGCCACGTCAAAGCCTACAGTTTTATCAACAAAACAGAGGCAAGACATTCTATGAACAACAGGTGGCGGATTTCTAAACGGCTAAATGTGTCAGCTCTACTCGACAATCTACAGCAGGCGCACTGAGTTCACTATCAACGTAATGTGGTTACTCATTGGGATTTCTTACCCCACACGATCTTATGTGCTGCAAAGCAGTCTATTTCTCAATAGGTCCCTAAAATCTACAAGCGACATACAGTCACCAGAAATCGCACTCTTCGGTTGTTAATCCACAAAGGTCACTACAGGGCGGGATACAAACGAACTGGTGATAACAGCGTATACGGGCAAGTCAAAAAAGCGAAGAAACAGTGAACGAATGTAATGAGAGAACTAAGATTTCAGTATCAGATACAACTTATCCATAAACTTATCTCCAATCTGAAAAGCCCATTCCGTTATGAGGGCTCTCCACGACAGTCGAAAACTAAAATTTCTCAACTCCCCTTTCCTTGATTTACATGAATGATCTTCTACAGAAATTATCGTCTGATTTATTGTTTTTCGCTGATGCCTTGAACTTGGAGAGTATTCAACGAAAAGGACAAACCATCACTTCGGGAGGATCTCACTCCAATTCAAATTTGGGCAGATGACAACAAAATTGCCTTTAACACTCAGAGGTGTAAAGTAGTCCATTTGAGACATTTAACAGACTACGTATACAACTTTAGTAACTCACTTCTAGAGGTATCCTAAGTTGAAAACTGTCTAGGAGTGTTGGTACCCAATGATCTGAAGTCTTGCGCTAACTGCGACAAAAATGCCTTTCGAGAAAACCTCTTACTGATAACGTTGAAGCGCATTTGCTACCAGTTTGACGGGAGAACTTTCCACATAATCTTCAACAGTTTTATTCGTCCCCATTTAGAGTATGGAAACATAGTATTTCCTCCCTCACACCGAAAGGATAAAGACGCTCTAGAACATATGCAATGGCGAACCACGAACTCATTTTGGGGACGCAAATTCAAGCCTTATGAATAGTGCCTTCAGTCACTGAACCGTTACCATTAGAGTACAGGCGTTTTAGAGTTGACCTGGTAGAAGTCGGTTATTATGTGTCCATGAATATCAACATTTTGGACTAAGTCAGAAATCGATGGCATCATTAGCAAAGTTGAAAAATAATGAGTGCATATTTTTTTATCAACCTTTGAAGCAGAAAAATATGAAACAGATGGGTGAAAGTGAACAGAAGTTTGAGCTAAATTGTAGTCTTTGACATATATCCCTCCTGATTATGGTTGAAGTGATCCATATCTCAAGGAATAATACAAGTGAATGGACAACGAGCCTTAGAATTGCAAGCGACTCTCTAGCTGTCGCGAAAGTCTATTGCGGTTGTTTGTTTAACAGTATCAAAATAAAATGCAAGTTGACTAAGCGGCAGGTGCGTATCGGTCCCGTTTAATTAGTAATTGGTAGGTCCTTCTCATGTTGTATGTATTTACTACATACTATAAAGTCACTATGGATGTATTATTTATCTGTAACATCAAACTTGTACATCTCTCTGACCATTAATCTTATTATATCTCCATGTATAGTTTTCTTCGTAAAATTTGAGTAACTTCCCCAAAATTTTCTATGGCGGCTTCCCCACAATAGGGAGATTGGGATAGAAAATAGAGTGGAAGCAAATAAAATTATAAATATCACTTGCCATTTCGCATTTCTTTCTGTTTCTTTTCCATTTCATGTACGTTGCTTTCTTTGCTGACAACTTGGATCTCCTGTCTAACTCCTCGGGTTTGCTCTCTTCCTGAATAAAAAGTAACATCATGAATGCTCTTTGCGATCCAGTTAGTGAAAGAATATCATATAACAGTTCTAACAGATGTTCAGGGTCAAATACATGCCATTAGCTTAATTAAGTACGATGTTTACCTACGACGATTCTTACCGCTTGATCTATTAAAATACTGAGTATACAAATAATGACGGCACCCCTGTTAGATAGACTACCCAAGCAACCCAAAAAGGGGAAATAAAGGGGTAAATGCTTCGGTAACGAAAGGGGAAAACGCATCAGAATGTCGCCTTTTTCGCCTGTCCGGGGGAAATAATGCGGATTTTCCCCTTTTTCGCCTTTTTGTCGACAAATTACCGACTTAACGCCTACATATCCGCTGAATTGTCGCATTTTCGCCTAAATATCCGCTGAATTGTCGCATTTTCGCCTAAATATCCGCCGAATTGCCTACTTATGCGCTTAATTGTCTACTTTTCGCCTAAATACACACATTACCTACTATTCTCTATCCATCGACAGAACCCCAAAGGTCTCCTATGTTCGCCTTTATTTTCAACAACAGACCAAAATATATCTGCAATGCAGTGGAAAAGCGGTAAATATTTCAAAAATTTTATTGAAAAAGAAAAGCGTATTATTGTACAACAGTAGAGCACAAGCTGAAGCATCGATTGTTATGCATATCCAATGCAATTGCTAATTCATTGTTATTTGAAATTATCTGAAAAAGAACGAACAGGTTATGATTTATTCATAAGAAATGTGCATTTAATCAAAAGTTCACTGAAACTCAAACACACATTCTCAACACTTTCCCATGTAGGTAAAAGAGTAAGCTGTTTGAAAGAATGTTTATTGAAATCGAGGTACAACATCAAAACAATTGCACGGACTAATCAGAATTGAGGTAGTCGTCCTGTGAATTCTGAATTTAAAAAAAAAAGTCACAACCATATCTCAATGACATGCTTTGGTACAACCAAATACTTGAAGCTGAACTTACGGTTATGTTTGTTAGTATTGTTGACTGTAACTATAGAGCCGTAGGGAGGTTATCACTTTAAATTAGTACATACCTGATTTTCTTTTCTCCTATTTCGTTTTATCATCTTGTCTCGGATGTCGTGAAAGTAACCTTGTGTCGCGATGTCGTAGAGCTTACCAAGGTCTTTCTCGTTGACAGAGGATGACAAAAAGCGATGAGTTAAGGCACCTGAAGTTTAAGTAATAGATATAGGTTACTTCGTATGCAGCTGTAAAACGTGCATTTCTGTAGTGCTCGTTTGGAAGAGGTGCCAAGTAACGTGAATTTACTGGCCACCTTCGGTGTCAGCAGATGCGACAGAATAAAACGCATGGATGTTTTTGGATCGTCACCTGATAACCTAATGACCATTCCCATCTGTAATAGTAACAAATTATTAAATTCATGTTAATGACTTACAAATCTGTCCCTGGTTTCTTTCTGCGACAAACCAGTATCTAGCATCTGTAGTTCCTCTTCAGATGACAAAGGGAACTGCTGACTTGACAGTCCGCAATCGAATTGATGCGGTCTTTCGCGCTCATTAGACTTTGAAAGCAATTGGTTTACATTAGCATTCAAGTCTATAATGGCGGACGATATGTTGTTAATCGTTTTAGTCAAGTCATTCATAGCTGACGAAATCTTCAACACCACAGTATACAAACTATCACAGGTGAAAAAGGTCACTAGATAATGCAGGTTACTTACTGGTCCAATACAGCGCCACCAACATGCTTACATTCCGATGTGGATGGTGATGTCTCTAATTGTGTTGAACTAAATAGTGAATATCGAAATAGTAATTAAACGTACTTGGCGATTGGAGATATCACTTTGTCGAAAACACGAAATTTGGGATATTGTACGCGGCTATTCCCAGCCTGCATCTCAGCCACATCCATGTCGACTGAATTGTAAAGAAAATCTTCTTTACGCTTCATTACACCCCTAGGAAATGTAAGTAAGATTATTGTACAGACCTTTTTGGCTTCTCAGTGTTAAGTGGCAAAGTGTTTTCATCTGTTGAGGTGTTTTTCCGCTGAGATTCCAGTATCTGTAGGGCCACTAACAGATCTTTTGCCGACTGCAGAGAATCTATAGTGAATTATACTTTATGTGTATGTCACCTACCTAATTCGTGAATCACTTTACATTTCATGAGTGACCAATTTTCATTCGGTTGGTCGCACTTCTGCAGGTGTATATCGACCAGCTCGTTCGGAAGAAGGAAAAGGTCATTGCCAACTATCCAGTCCTTTGATGCTATCATAAGTTGTTTTTTTTTAGGACGTCAACAATAACGTATTTCTTGTTAGTGGGCTGAAAAGAACATAAGACGTAAGTAAATGGTTTATCATCATTAATTAAACACTAATGAAACGAAATGCATTTACAATAAAGTATGCAACAATGGGATTACAACTATGTAATTGGTACAATTGATGGCTATACATTTACAATCAATGTCCTTAACCGAAACCCATGTGTATTCATGGCTAACTACGGAGCACATAAAGATTCCAATATCACTAGATGGGAAAGGATCTTCAAAGTAATTGAGTGGGTCAATGAAAGTCCTAAATTTTAGTAGTCCATCCTCCTTTATGTCAGTAACTAAACCGGGCTGGCCGTTTACTACTACTACATTATCCGGTTTATATGAACTTATTTTGCTGTTGTTAAACATAATTACTTGTTTAATGGAGACATCATTAGCGCCTATTGCGGTAGTATTTGTTAAACCACTACTTTGAAGCCTATCGCTGAAGGACATTCTCTCAGCATAACGCTGTGCTGCTTGCTTAGCTACTGCAAACCCACCACGCACGGAATCCTTAATTTGTCTCATATAAGACTCGAATGGAAAGGCTGAAAAACTATCTAAAGGTCCATGTGCACGAACGTCGTCAGGGAGGTGCTGTAACGAATGCACATTGTAAACTAAGTTTTCACACCCATAACACCATGCGTATTCATTTAGGAAGTTTAGTAAATCTAATTTGGCGGTTTCTACAACATTTTTATGTAATTTCGGATGTGCAAGCAGATACATGGATAACGCTAAACGCCGGAAATTAAGATAAAAAGGTTGTGGCAATGTTTTTTCAAGAATCACCGGGCCTAAATACAGAAGAAACAACCTACATTCAGAAGCTTTCCATGCCGATACAAAGTCTAGTGTACGGCATTTACGGGGAAAGTCAGAAGGAGTACTTGCCACACAACCCGTTATTAAATTATTTATGTCCCTAATTGCACATGAGTTAAAGTCGCGCAGTCTTCGGCGTGCTAAATCTATCCATAAATTAGCTAGTTTTTTGGTAACACCGAGGTACACCATGTGCATAGGATCTAGAGGAAAAGTTAAAATCATATCAATCGAAAGCGTTTCCATGATAGAATGTCCTTGATGGTGAATTGATTGAGACTGACGACGGAAGGTGTCGTCTGTTCTTACGGTATGTACTCCATTTGGAAAGGTCGTTTTCCCCTCCAGCCGTCTCGTTGAATTCTGCCGGCTTACTATTCCCTCCGTAGATCCCTATCATGAACACGTCACTAAACCTAGGGGCAACGATCCGTCCTAGTATAGGCCATAACTGTTGATTGGAGCTTCTAGACATAGAAAGTCCATCCACACTGATATATAAATTTAAAAAGTCAAAATCAGTAGTACACAACCAAAGTTCCAACGTATCTTAGCAGATTGGTTTTCAATCCTAGATGGTAGTAGACCCCACTGCCGATAAACTTTGGTTGAACACTTGGACACGTCTTTAGGACACCTCTGATGCTTTTCGGTATGTCAGGGATAAGAAATCGTAGAACCCGATCAGATACGTTGAACTTTGGTTGTGTACTACTGATTTTGACTTTTTAAATTTATATATCAGTGTGGATGGACTTTCTATGTCTAGAAGCTCCAATCAACAGTTATGGCCTATACTAGGACGGATCGTTGCCCCTAGGTTTAGTGACGTGTTCATGATAGGGATCTACGGAGGGAATAGTAAGCCGGCAGAATTCAACGAGACGGCTGGAGGGGAAAACGACCTTTCCAAATGGAGTACATACCGTAAGAACAGACGACACCTTCCGTCGTCAGTCTCAATCAATTCACCATCAAGGACATTCTATCATGGAAACGCTTTCGATTGATATGATTTTAACTTTTCCTCTAGATCCTATGCACATGGTGTACCTCGGTGTTACCAAAAAACTAGCTAATTTATGGATAGATTTAGCACGCCGAAGACTGCGCGACTTTAACTCATGTGCAATTAGGGACATAAATAATTTAATAACGGGTTGTGTGGCAAGTACTCCTTCTGACTTTCCCCGTAAATGCCGTACACTAGACTTTGTATCGGCATGGAAAGCTTCTGAATGTAGGTTGTTTCTTCTGTATTTAGGCCCGGTGATTCTTGAAAAAACATTGCCACAACCTTTTTATCTTAATTTCCGGCGTTTAGCGTTATCCATGTATCTGCTTGCACATCCGAAATTACATAAAAATGTTGTAGAAACCGCCAAATTAGATTTACTAAACTTCCTAAATGAATACGCATGGTGTTATGGGTGTGAAAACTTAGTTTACAATGTGCATTCGTTACAGCACCTCCCTGACGACGTTCGTGCACATGGACCTTTAGATAGTTTTTCAGCCTTTCCATTCGAGTCTTATATGAGACAAATTAAGGATTCCGTGCGTGGTGGGTTTGCAGTAGCTAAGCAAGCAGCACAGCGTTATGCTGAGAGAATGTCCTTCAGCGATAGGCTTCAAAGTAGTGGTTTAACAAATACTACCGCAATAGGCGCTAATGATGTCTCCATTAAACAAGTAATTATGTTTAACAACAGCAAAATAAGTTCATATAAACCGGATAATGTAGTAGTAGTAAACGGCCAGCCCGGTTTAGTTACTGACATAAAGGAGGATGGACTACTAAAATTTAGGACTTTCATTGACCCACTCAATTACTTTGAAGATCCTTTCCCATCTAGTGATATTGGAATCTTTATGTGCTCCGTAGTTAGCCATGAATACACATGGGTTTCGGTTAAGGACATTGATTGTAAATGTATAGCCATCAATTGTACCAATTACATAGTTGTAATCCCATTGTTGCATACTTTATTGTAAATGCATTTCGTTTCATTAGTGTTTAATTAATGATGATAAACCATTTACTTACGTCTTATGTTCTTTTCAGCCCACTAACAAGAAATACGTTATTGTTGACGTCCTAAAAAAAAACAACTTATGATAGCATCAAAGGACTGGATAGTTGGCAATGACCTTTTCCTTCTTCCGAACGAGCTGGTCGATATACACCTGCAGAAGTGCGACCAACCGAATGAAAATTGGTCACTCATGAAATGTAAAGTGATTCACGAATTAGGTAGGTGACATACACATAAAGTATAATTCACTATAGATTCTCTGCAGTCGGCAAAAGATCTGTTAGTGGCCCTACAGATACTGGAATCTCAGCGGAAAAACACCTCAACAGATGAAAACACTTTGCCACTTAACACTGAGAAGCCAAAAAGGTCTGTACAATAATCTTACTTACATTTCCTAGGGGTGTAATGAAGCGTAAAGAAGATTTTCTTTACAATTCAGTCGACATGGATGTGGCTGAGATGCAGGCTGGGAATAGCCGCGTACAATATCCCAAATTTCGTGTTTTCGACAAAGTGATATCTCCAATCGCCAAGTACGTTTAATTACTATTTCGATATTCACTATTTAGTTCAACACAATTAGAGACATCACCATCCACATCGGAATGTAAGCATGTTGGTGGCGCTGTATTGGACCAGTAAGTAACCTGCATTATCTAGTGACCTTTTTCACCTGTGATAGTTTGTATACTGTGGTGTTGAAGATTTCGTCAGCTATGAATGACTTGACTAAAACGATTAACAACATATCGTCCGCCATTATAGACTTGAATGCTAATGTAAACCAATTGCTTTCAAAGTCTAATGAGCGCGAAAGACCGCATCAATTCGATTGCGGACTGTCAAGTCAGCAGTTCCCTTTGTCATCTGAAGAGGAACTACAGATGCTAGATACTGGTTTGTCGCAGAAAGAAACCAGGGACAGATTTGTAAGTCATTAACATGAATTTAATAATTTGTTACTATTACAGATGGGAATGGTCATTAGGTTATCAGGTGACGATCCAAAAACATCCATGCGTTTTATTCTGTCGCATCTGCTGACACCGAAGGTGGCCAGTAAATTCACGTTACTTGGCACCTCTTCCAAACGAGCACTACAGAAATGCACGTTTTACAGCTGCATACGAAGTAACCTATATCTATTACTTAAACTTCAGGTGCCTTAACTCATCGCTTTTTGTCATCCTCTGTCAACGAGAAAGACCTTGGTAAGCTCTACGACATCGCGACACAAGGTTACTTTCACGACATCCGAGACAAGATGATAAAACGAAATAGGAGAAAAGAAAATCAGGTATGTACTAATTTAAAGTGATAACCTCCCTACGGCTCTATAGTTACAGTCAACAATACTAACAAACATAACCGTAAGTTCAGCTTCAAGTATTTGGTTGTACCAAAGCATGTCATTGAGATATGGTTGTGACTTTTTTTTTAAATTCAGAATTCACAGGACGACTACCTCAATTCTGATTAGTCCGTGCAATTGTTTTGATGTTGTACCTCGATTTCAATAAACATTCTTTCAAACAGCTTACTCTTTTACCTACATGGGAAAGTGTTGAGAATGTGTGTTTGAGTTTCAGTGAACTTTTGATTAAATGCACATTTCTTATGAATAAATCATAACCTGTTCGTTCTTTTTCAGATAATTTCAAATAACAATGAATTAGCAATTGCATTGGATATGCATAACAATCGATGCTTCAGCTTGTGCTCTACTGTTGTACAATAATACGCTTTTCTTTTTCAATAAAATTTTTGAAATATTTACCGCTTTTCCACTGCATTGCAGATATATTTTGGTCTGTTGTTGAAAATAAAGGCGAACATAGGAGACCTTTGGGGTTCTGTCGATGGATAGAAAATAGTAGGTAATGTGTGTATTTAGGCGAAAAGTAGACAATTAAGCGCATAAGTAGGCAATTCGGCGGATATTTAGGCGAAAATGCGACAATTCAGCGGATATTTAGGCGAAAATGCGACAATTCAGCGGATATTTAGGCGATAAGTCGGTAATTTGTCGACAAAAAGGCGAAAAAGGGGAAAATCCGCATTATTTCCCCCGGACAGGCGAAAAAGGCGACATTCTGATGCGTTTTCCCCTTTCGTTACCAAAGCATTTACCCCTTTATTTCCCTTTTTTCCCCTTTTTGGGTTGCTTGGGGAACCCGACTGTAAGAGAGGAATGACGGAAAACTATAGAGAAAGCTTATTTGTTAAGCGGAATAAAGTGTTCATATATATATATATATATCACTATTCAAACCATCAATCGAGAGTAAGGTAGTTGAACATAACCACTTCACTTATCTTATTAACCTTACCAACTATTATGGGTTTATGTTTAAAAAATACTCCTCCGGCTTTTGCCAACATTTGTTGCTTGTGATGCTTTCCAATTAAACAATGAGTGTATCGCATAACAGTCGTCCCAGTTTTGGTTCATAGTTGTGAAACGTGACTCTCAAAGACAAACGGTATTCGTAGGCTTATGCTGTCGAAGTATTACTCATATGCATTGAGTTAACAACTTTAAGTCTAGACGCAAGGTAGTAGAAATGGCAAGTGGGTTGACAAGACTAAATCTTCACCAACTATGGAGATTAAAACACCTATTACATATCCATGACTAACACATCTCAATGCGTGGACTCTTGGTTCAGGGGCGGGTTAGGAGAAAACTAGGTCAGCCAAACCAATAGGTAGCATCAGTCCACGAAGTCATTTGCTGCTGGTCTAAGCTGTGTAGGTAGATTTGCACTATCGATTATCGTAATTCATGGTTGGATAAATCAGATGACATAGCTTAGAATTATTCACTTTGGTGCAGACCAACCCACTCTTTCCTTGAAATCCAGACTTAAAATTAATTTTTTTTTCAAGTCTTTTTTAATCATATTGCCTGTGTCTAATACTTCTTACTGCCTCTGACTGTTATTGTTTTTACTATGGGATATTTCTTGACGATTTCATCTTGGTGCTAATGGGGTATGGCATTGTGAACAAATTTATGTATAAACCGGATTATATCCGACGTATAACTGGGTGAGTAAATCAAAATATAGAAATGTACATAAGAATAGATATGGCCTGCCACTAAAACATCAATCTGGACAAAAATAGGTTTTCCTGGAGCTTAGTATTCTCGCAAATCTATTGAAATTTATGCAATTAATCGGTTAAATCCTGCGGGATTCACTTATCGCTTTCAGTCCACAATATGGCTTTAAATCTTGTCTATATTTTCATCTAGGTTAATCAGTAATAGTAAAGTAACCTAGTACGTCGACCACATCGCTTATTATAAGGTCTCGTCTACCACATTTGGCTGTTGGTTGACAAAGTACTAGCACGGGTTTAGGAAGTTCTCATGCCTGTCACCGGCCTGAATCACGTATGAACTAAAAGAAACATCTACCAGCCAAATAGGGGTTGAAGGTGCTGCTCAACAGTCCACTTAGCTGTAAAACATGATCTTCAGATGTAAAAAAAAACATGCTTTTACTTTTGCTCTATATATGTATTCTGTTCAGAAAATTTTGTAGTCTTTCAACTTTCTTCCTATTCTTCAGCTTCTGTAGCTTATGATGTAAAATAACATGATCACATAGTAAATTGCTACAGAATATTTTCAAAGCTATTCGCAAACTTCGTATATCAGTCGACCTGATAATAATTATTGCAAAAATCCCGAAGTGTATAACTTTCAGAAGGCAATAAAAAGTCGTGGTAGTAGTTTTTTCAGCATAGAATAAATCAAACAATCAACAGACACACGATGAGAAGAATAAGTTGACAAATTAATTAATTAACCCCATGAACAAATATATAAAAGCATGCGAATAAATCATCAAGCGTTTAAAAAAACCAATATTTAAACAAGTTAGAGGAGTATATGCATGGGTTGTTTCATGTAATCAGTCATACGTTTTTATATAAGCATGGAAGTATGTATTTGGAGAAATAGCCAGACTGTTTGTTAAGTAAGTTAAACATGCTGATGAATCTAAAGATATATAGACTCGAGTGGACGTGAGTGTGCTATAAATTTCAGTACCTGTGTATTGACAAAGGGCTTAGAAATAATCCCTCTAGTTAAACTTGTGGCCTAACTACATATGGCGACTAGAGCATTTGGTTTTGGAACATTGCATCCCAGAACTTAGTCCCACTATATTTTTTAAGGTTCAGGATTCCACTTAGTATCATTATTTTTAAGAATATCATTAGTTTATCTCTTAGTGAATAAACCTCTTCTTGATTACTAACCTTCACTATCTTAGTTATCCACATAAGTAGGCTGTTTTGCCAGTAGTATTAACAGTAATCTACGTATTTGTTTTCATGGTAGATATATTACGAGGAGTTTCACTCTATTATAATGTCAGAGGATAGTGATTTTAAAATTTTGGATTACTTGCATATGCAACTGAAGCCTGGATGGACCAAAAAGGGAATAACTGAATTTCTGAAAGAAGCAGAAAAGCGTGAAGTTTTATACACAAGAGCCCGTAGAGATGATATGGAGAAAGCAATCGCTCAATTTAGAAGTTCTGCTTTGAATTTCATCGCCAGACTACCGACTGAGATACGAAGTAAACCTTACTTTGATTGTATCAACCAGTATAATGGGGATACAGGAGCAAATGTAAGTTGTACTCAAGGTAGTACTATGTGCAAGTTTTGATTTCAATAATGGTACAGTATCCAGTAGTATGTTTTTATAGTCTGCTTTACGGTTAGCTAGGGTTTTAAGATCGGTTTATGATTGAGCTATTAAAAATGAGCTCTCGCTGTTGCACTAATGTATTTCCTGCTGTAGAATTTGTCCCAAACTTCAAAAAAATCTGCTTAATAAACCCATTACTTCACTAATCTCTAAAATAAGTTTTTTCTCCACTAATAAATGATACTGTTGATCATCGTGAATATGTAGAGGTTGAACCTATTTGTAACTAATCACTATTTCATTTAACCAAGTAACCTCTAGGCATTAAGCTTTTAATGATTCCGTAATATATCCAAGTCCCTCTGAACATACTTTCTTATTTTTTGTGGTGTTACTAGTTGTTGCACTGAGAGGGTATTTTCAAACAAAGCACTCAAACGTGTATTTTGTTACAAAGTGGAATTAATAAGCGAAGTTTCTTTTTCAGGAAAGACCGTTAACGATCGAATGCATATACTTCTCTGGATACCTTTACCCATTTTTCAACTTTCTGTTTCTGCAACTGACAGTGATATTCGAATAATTTTAGCTTTGAAGGCACCCATATTCAAATACTTAACATCTTTAGTGTTCATTTTAAACCCTCGTGTCTCGGCTATTAAACTACGAAAACAACTGATTTTTTTAAACAAGGTATCTCATTAGTGTCATAAATAATCCGTGTTTTTTAAACACTAAACGAGTTATCTATATTGCAGCTTTTTGTGTAACAACACATTTGAAGGTTAACTTGGCTTATGGGTTTTTTAAGACGCAGAAGGTAATAGCTATATGACTACTCCCTGTTTTTCTTAGTCAACAATTTTAGATAAAAGACTTGCGAATAAACCAACATCTGTGTAATGTCTACAAGATCTACATCATTGTCTAAGTTGTGTTTAAGTAGTATCTAACTTCATAGATTGGAATTTCTGGAAGTAATTATCCCTATAATATTCGAATACATAAACTAGGGTTACAGTATTTTGGTTTGTTGTAATCTTTTATCTGAGATTAACACAAACAGCTTTTGTAAATATTATGCAAAACAAATTTATTAGAATTGATATCTTTTAAATATCCATATCGACATAATATACTTTCACTTACATTTATGTTATTGCATTAGTTACTTGACCAGTTGGTGTCTGAGGTAAAAAAACGTAGTCGACTCGAATGGGAAGATTCTGTAAAGACTCGTACCGGAAAAAGACCATGTAGAGGACATACTACAAGTAATTTTCGAAGTGCAAAGACATCTCAAGCATCCACTAATCCACAGTTGTCACAATGGCAGTCTATGCCATTTATTTCGGAAGATGAAGAGTTAACAAATATTAATGATGTCGGTCAAGTTCCAACTCTAAATACTTCTCAGGTACTTCTCGTTACTGCAGTTATTTGTTGTCGATTGTTTGATTATTTTTATGTTATCTAGTTCATATTGTGTAAACACAGTTCTAAAAATACAACTATCTAGCTTCTTTCCTATACCTACGCATTTCCGCAATGATGTCCTTGGCAACATCTTAACAATAATTAGACTTGAGACTATTTGTGGAATTCAAGATAGATGTTTAGTCCAGCTTGTGATTGTTGTATAATCATCTTAATCAGTAATTTACCAAACGAGTAAATGACAGTTTGAAGCTCGTACCTAATGCACGCCAAATCAAAGTATTTTTTGTGAATTATCATTCCTAAGTCTGATAGTAAATTATAATTATCATGCAGTCCTTAAAAGAACGACTCTCTATTTCGTATGGTGTTGACGATCTTCTCAGGTGCACCATAGTGTCGAGGAAGATTCCATAAGGCCCTCCTATCCACACTGTCAAATGTCTTCTCATAGTCCATTCAATTGATTGTTTAACAATGATCCATAATGTTGCGGTTCGGTCTAAGCACGACCGATCCTTATGGAATCCAGCCTGTTGATGTCGGAGTTGGGCGTCTACTGAATCTTTCATTCGGTCCAAAAACACTCCATTGAACACTTTTCATAGTAGTGTGATTCCTCTGCCATTCTCACACCTACCCGGATCTCCTTCTTTTGGCATCTAGATGAGATATCTTCCTTTCCAGTCTGTCGGCACTTGTTCTTCCTCCCAAATATTTCTGAATAGAATGTAGAACATCCTTGAAGTTACCTGTATGTCTGAATTTGGTGTTTTAGCTGGTATGTTGTCTGCTCCTGCTGCTTTTCCACTCTTGATTTGTTTGATATCCATGCTGATTTCTTCAGTCGTTGATGGGGTGACAGTTATATAAAGGTCTGTAGGTGCTGTTCCGATGTCCAATAGGTTCACTATGGCTGGCCTATTCAAGAGTTCCTCGAAGTATCCTACCCATCTGTTGCTCTGTTCTGAATCTCAGTGATTGGCTTGCCTTCTTTGTCTTTAACCAGTTTCTCTGGTTTACAATATTTCCCTATCAGTTTCTTTGTCGTGTCATATAGTTCATATTTCTTTCTGTTGCATCTTTTTCCACTGTCATAGCCAGGTCTTCCACATATTTCTGCTTGTCGGTCCTGATTCTCCTCTTCACTCTCTTGCTTGTTTCTGTATCTTCTGTATGTTCCTTAATTTTCTCTGTTCTTGTTCGACTGTTGTTAATTGGTGTCTCCTTGCTCTTCCTTTCTTGAATCTTGTCCAAGCATCATCCTGATGATGATGTTTGTTGCAGCCCAGAACATCCTGACACGTTGAAGTGCTACCTATAACCATTTTATTGAATGCACATAAATTTGCAAATCTCTCACCATTTTCATACCTTTTTCCCAGTCCATGTCGTTGTATGATATCGTCATACCCGATGTTGTCCGCTCCCATCAGGATGGTTATGTCCTTTTCTGGACACGTCTCTACGGTGGACTTCAGTCTCAGAAAACTGATCTTTATCGTCTTCATTGCTATCATTGGTGGGTGTATAGCACTACATAACATAAGATTTCTATCGTATAAGTGCTTTTCGTGGTTTTTTGGACAGCATCAGAGTAACTCCTTCCATGTATAAGACATTTTATTCTTCATGAGCAATGTAAAACAGCATTTGTCCCCAATCTAATCATTTTTGTCTAGTTTAGGCCTAACAGGTTTCGCTTATCCCAAGCATCGCAAAGATTTATCTCTATTTCCACAGCTATTTGGTCGGTCCTTCTGGTTTCCCACACTGTCCGGACCATTCCATGTACCTATATTAATTGTTGTTCTGATTGTCAGAAGGGAGATTGGTCTCGTAACTTTCGAAAAGTCGTGAGGCGTAATAATTCTTCTGAATGAAGATCCTTCAACTTCAAGGGCGAAATTCAAGTGATTTTTTTCTAATTAGCGTTCCTCTAGCGATGTTGTTTTCTACGGGATGGGTTGGTGACCTAATGCTCAACCCTCTTTCTTTGTCCGGACAGTAACTCTGAAAGAGCTACATACGAAGTTTATGAGTTTATATGTGTGTTTCCCTTACCCTATTCATCGCATGTCGTTAGCTTAACTGCCTGGATATAAATAGTTAGTTACACTTTTTCAAATGAAGTTGAGACGCTTGCTTTCTCTGCCTCGCTTCTCATTTTAGTATGTCTGAGTAAACGAGTGACTGAAGTCAATTCATCCTGTTTAATACGTATGTGGCTTCTTATTACTGCAGTCGCTCAAACAGCTTTAGCCTATGTGTAGTATATGGAGTCAAACGGAAGCTTTATATCTATCCGTTCGTCAAAAGCGTAGACTGCGGGACGCTAAAGTGATGGACCACTAGAAAGTAAGCGTCAGGGGTTGTGAAGGAACCTGAATACGTCACGGAAACTCAGTGTTTATTAACGCTACCTTCCGAAACTTCTCATACGAGGACCGTAAATCCAATCAGACCAGGAGACGAGAATGAATGGATGCGAAGATATATTTGAATAATGGTTGATGCTCCGAGGTGTGTGTATTCCAATATGACTAGTTCCAAGAGATGCGCGCCTGAACGTTATCTGAAGTGTATGATTGACCGAGCGCTTTCAGCCAACAGTGTGCCCAGTAAAACTAATCGGGTCAGCATAGACATCGAGGACTTATCAAACTAATTATTTTGTAGACCTTTTTACCGCTACTCCCCCCTCTCTAGTGAGGGCCCTAATACGTTACCAGTCAGAAGTTTATATTTAATGAGCTTGTTGTTAGTAAACACTCGATAGCTTGCTATGTCCAGAAGCGTTTGGTCGTTTTTCACCACTATAGGAAGTCATGGGGTCAATGATGAAAATGTACAGAAACAAGTGACTTGGTTCTCTGAATTCGTCTTCATTTTTTCATCTTTTTCAGTCGTCCTGGGTGATAAAGTAATGGTAATGTAAGTGCCCAATACGCATACCTTCGGAAACAGCAACCTGCAAATTCACCCACTTATGGTATGTCTTACGTCAGCTAATAGAATCTAATATTACACTAAATGCCTACATGGGATATCGTAGTCAGTGCAAATTCACACCATGTTATTACTACTAACCTAACGATGCTGTAGTTTCACGTTCTAGAGGGGAAGTTGAGTTGAGAAATTTTGCATCTTTTCATTATAAATAATATTTTATTTGTTATCAGTCCAGTGTTATTTATTCTTGTATTTACTTCTGACTAGATGAAATCTGGTAGTGGAAAACGGTTACCAATTGCTTCGACACCAAAAGTTACTGAACTTGAAGGATTCATCCCTCCATCTACTACTTATCGAGTAACTCGATCACGTGCGATCAATAACCAAACTTCAAGTACATGTAAAATGAATACAACTCGTGTAACTAACACTAATACAAATCATTATACAACAGCTAATGATACTTTAACCACTATGGATAAAACTTTACGACCTAATTCTACACAAAAATTATCTAAAGAAATGAGAGTAAGATTTATTATTTTTTCTTAACAGTTTATAGTCAATATTTATAATTTTAAATATCCACTCAGAAACAATAAACATATTTATTTTCCTAACTGTAGACCTATTGGATATGGATAGATAAATGATAATAGGATAGTCCTCGAATGCCCTGGTACGGACGAGAGTGGGGAGAGTCCGCTCTACCTTTTGAAATGCTCTCACATGGCCACGCGTATATAGCCTCTGCCAGGGAAATCCTACTCACTGACTTCTCGTGGCATTACTGTTGTTTACGAACTTCAGAGGACGAAAACCGAATGTATGGCGCTTTAACCGGGTTGGTGGACATGGAGAGTCCACCTAAGGGAGTTGGAAAACCCTGATTCCAAACCAATGGTGCACATGGGCTCCAGTATCCTGAAGGAACAAATGGCATATGAACCAATCGTTGGTCACCGGCTACCATGGGACTGCATCTCCTCGCGATGCTCCACTGTCTTATAGATCAGACCTTCAAGTCGAAGGCTCCGGGTGTGGCCCCTTAAGAAAACCACCTGCTTCGGTTTGGGCACCCGGGCAGTATCACAGCCCTCACACATATCAAATAAGATCTGTGTGGCGCATATGCATTTGGTGCCTCCTTGTACCAATATCTATGTGTTAAAATAAATAAATAAAAGTCAGACAGTTCCATTCATTTAAAGATTAAAAACTGAATGTATAAATTCTAGTAATTTCAGTTGTGAGAGTGAAACATCAGGGATTTAAATGTATCAAACTTATTATTCAAAGAAACAAAACTAATATTAGTGAACTACTTTTTTTCTTAGATATAAACTAAAACTATAAAATTACGTTTCTCTTTCAGTTATAGACTTCGACTTTATATAACTATATATCAAGACAAGATAATGTGAATACCTTATTTACTGTAATAACACAGATGGCTTCCTTACGTATAATAGAAATAGAAACCTAGTTAATAAACGTTTTCGATAGACAGATGCGAAGATATTTAGTCATGCTCTTGATATGTAAAATTATTAATAGTAGTAGGTATTAGTACGGGGTTCGTAACAGTTTATCATCATAATAAAGTGATATGTCCGATAAAATACTTGATGCTCCTATTAATATCTGCAGATTTTGACCGAATCAGTCGTGACAGTCGATATCCCCTTAAAATCATCCAAACAACGATCTAATTAACGTTAGATTAGTTTCTTCTCATGTTATCAAGTGTGTAAACCTACGTTTAGTTTCTAAACTTCAGTCTTTATATGATTCCAGGGTAATAAGAAAGAGCTTAATTAAATTTACACATTTTGAATAAGCATAATACAGCCAATATAGCTCGATTGATTCATCACGATAGCCAAGCCCACGGCTCAGAATCGATCACAACGGCGTAGGTGTATACACTCCTTGTCTTCCCTTAAACTATGAGATTAAAATCGCTTCATATATTTCTTTCTACGAACTAATTCTTTCTTCCTGTACTATATCCTTATATGGAATCTTTCTCTTATATAATACCACCATTGAATTAACTATTTCTATGAATTTGGTGTTCATCTTGCTGTGTTAATACGGTATGGTAACTTGGACCGATGCATATACATGCCTGGTCCTGGAGTACTGTTTGTGAATAACGCCAAATAGTTATTTTCTGTTAAAAGCATAGTATGTAAATGTAATGCTAGACACAACTATTTTTTTTATAGTAGAAGTGAATAACTCTTCTGTCAATATTTGTAAATTGCTTTTTTATCCCGTTTAATAGGATAAATTATTATCGAAGATTGATCGTAACAATATACAGCTATCATCACCGGAAGCACAGCATCTACGTAATTTTATTGTAACACTTCAAGATGCATTAAACCGTCATATTCAATCAAGAAAGAAATGAAAAAGCAAGTCAATGCTTGACGCAAACTTGTCTCTGTTTTATAACTTTGTGCAATCAATAACTTGTCCAGATTTCATAAGTGTAAAGAAAATATGATAATTTAGTTGTGTTAATGTTATTATTCTTTGTTTACTGATGTATATGTGATAAAGTCTAACTATAATACTCAACTAATAATTTGTTCAGATGTTTACTAAATTAAGCGTTTATTACAAAATTGTCTGGGATATGAACCACTAATTGGCGCGATATCATGTTGTATTTGGTTGATCGACAGATGATTCTAATCCCATGCTACAATCTCAATGATACTGTAAATTCACGAACTTCCTGCTTACAAACATCTGTTTTTTACAACAGCTTACAAGGTTACCATTGAGGTGTAATAAGGCCATGATAAACAGTAAATACAATAGTAACTCTTTTGAATGGCTACCTCTAATATGATCTTTATTAGCAACGTGTTAATAAACTTCATAATGACATTATTTTCACCTTAAAGTTGTTTGTGACACGATCTATAACCAGTTATATTGGTGCTGATGCATTCACTCTTTATCTCCTTTCAAGTATCTAGTTTTAATATTCCTTCATTAATACCTTTTTATTTTGTCATCCATGACAAATAGTCGTAGCTCAAATCAATCGCAACGTGCATCCGATTTCAGTTTTTTAATTACTGTGCTCCGCAGCTGTTGCTTATTTTTTCATATATATTTTCAGTTGTATCAAGATATGGAGTTCTGAATTGTTTAGTTTGTCGTAAAATTGTCAGATTATGGTTTGACTTTTTTCATTTCAGTCTTGCTTTAGACAATATTGTATTTAGGATGGTGAAAAGCTAAGCTATGCGCTGTTCATCTTCCAATCTTGGTTGGCAACTTAACTCCTTTAATCTTCATCCCAATGATATCATCTAAGTACTAATCCCCTAAGAGGCCACCATGAACTCAAGTGTCATCAAATACCATCGTTAACAATGAGTCAACAGTTTTCGTATTTGTATTCAAATCTCAACTCTAGGTTATTTCATTTAAAGACGAACAGATTACCAGTTATTTTAATGTTTGGATTTAGTACCCATCAAACTTTCCTTTTTCCCATTCAACATTAAATGGTTAAAATTTGATCTTATTGAAGTACTGTAATTGTGTTTTCCTCACTGCTAACGGGTAAGAATTTGTTACACAGAATCAGGTTTACAACTACAATGGCTAAACAGTTGTCCTATAGTAGATACTGAGAGATTCAAATGACTAGCAACTATCCGATAACGGGTGTTAGAGTCGTAATAGTACATGGCGTTTTAACTAATCTATGTAATCTGCAGAAACACCCAGCTGTGTATGCAAGCGAAGTAGTAGGACAAAGTTACTCATCCGTCAATTTAATAACCAATGATGAGTATAAAGGAATTCTGTCCTGTAGTCAAACATAAGTTGTTTTTAATAACTCCATGTACTAAAATGGAATTTAGACTACACACATGTTTTAAACCTGAAATATGTGACAAGATGCTGATCGATTGTTGAAGTAAAACGTACATAAAAACACTAATTTACCCGTATAGGTATTCCTGTAGTTAGAAATAACTGAAATCACTTAAGCACGTAACAACCTCTGGTGGGATGGCAGAGGACACTTGCAGCTGAGTAGAATGATTTTGGTGACTTGTAAGAACCTGAATAAAACTTGTGGTTACGCTTCGAGAACTAAATTAAAAGTATTCAATAACAAATTTATTTTAAAAAGCACGAATCAAATACACTAAAAGTAGATATTTACAATAACTGCATGTACAAGAGCCATACTATCTTGTTTAATACATCGGTATTAAAGGGTGACCAATTTTTAGTGTCACAAGTCGATAATGTAATTATAAAAAAGTTTATGTACAGTGACAATTTTCGATGAACTTAGCGGAATGGTCTTGGTGGACTAGGGGGCTCCGCCTTAATAGAGACTTTGCGCGGTGGGGAAGGACTTGGATTGCGTAGGCGTCTCGGAGAGTTCCTTTGACTAGTGTCTTCCCTTTTTGTTTCTGAATGAGGTTCTCTGTTTTCCCTAAGCCTTGGCTCTCGATTCTCTCTATGTCTTGACTCTCCATTTTCTCTAGATTTTGACTCTGGATTATGACGTTTCTCCCGACCATTCCGCTTCTGAATAGCTTCAAGGCGTCGCTTCTCTGCCTCGTCTTGTTCCTGTTGAATTTTTTTCAGTTGTTTCATCACTTCTGGACCACATCCATGCTCTTTAACAAATTCCGAAACAGAGTCAGTAGGTCGTTTGTGCTCTGGCTTTTTATCCATATGTCCAACATCAAGAACTCCGTCCTTTGGTACTCGATATTTTTCGACATGGTCTACTCGGATTATACGACCTCCTAATTTTATTCCATTTAAATTATCAGTAGCTAGAACAGTACTTCTCTGATCTTCATAACACACAAATGCAAATCCCTTTGACACACCTGTCTTTTTATCCCGAACTAAATTGATATTAACAATCTCACCATACTGAGAAAAAACACAAATAACATCACCTTCAGTGAGATCGTAATGTAAACCACCCACATAGATCCAAGCCGAATCTTTGTACTGTCTATGCCAACTGCTAACTGTCCCTGTGTGACCGAGCGATAACTCCTTCTCATTCATTAAATTCTGATTTTTGGCATTCGTAATTGGATTCATTGTGGAACCGTTCTATCTAGAATAATATTGTAAAAAATAAATAAGTAGAGAGAGGGTTATTTTACAATCAGTGTCAGTCATCAAAAACGTAGAACTTCGTACGTGTGTATATCAGTTAGAGTTGTCATACCATATTAGTGAAGAGATTTTATTTTTTTTATTTAACACATAGATATTGGTACAAAGAGGCACCAAATACATATGCGCCATACAGATCTCATTTGATATGTGTGAGGGCTGTGATACTGCCCGGGTGCCCAAACCGAAGCAGGTAGTACAGAGATACAATTGTCCATTCAAATCCCGTAATGGTAAAGGCAGTAAAATTATAAGCAATAATCGGGAAGATTAGGGTTTGAAGATGTTATTCAAGGAGTATAATCCAATGAAATAAATTTGGAAAGAGAATAAATAGGGGCATGAAGAATTCAGAAGATTAAGATTTGGGAAAACAAAGAGTGGATGCACTTGCGCCATTGCAAACGATTTTGAGCCATGTCATTCAGGGTCTCTAACCATCGGTTGCTATTGTCTCGCGGATCCCAGCTAGGTAGTTTACACCTACCAACATGGCTCAGTCCACTTGTCAGTGAATTCATGCATTTGTGCCATGTTTTGGTCTGGCCGCCTCTACCTTTCTTCCAACCTACTCCTATACCATAAAATATCGCATGTCGGTGGGTGGGCATACGTAACACGTGTCCCAGCCATCTACAATTGACTTGCCATTCTTACCTAGTACCCGTTTCCTAAAAACTGCATTACTTACTCGGTGGTCCCAGGATATACGAGCAATATTTCGAAGACACCTATGATCAAATACTAGTAACCTACGAATATCCTCTACTCTTACCGGCCATGTTTCACTGCCATAAAGTAGGACGGGACGAACTGCTGCGCAGTAAACACGTCCTTTGGTTGATAGACGGATATCTCGCCTACGCCTACCATTCTAGTGAATTAAATAATAATAAAAATAGTTGTTGTCATGCCACATGTTGTGTTGGTAAAGTTGGTTTGGCAGAGATAACTAGATTTACAGTAATGTAAATTTAAAACTGACTTAGTACTGTTAATTTTGACACTGAACTTAGAATACTACACAAAGTTTGACCTTACTGTGTACCCTAAAACTAAATATGAACGGAACTAATGCAGTGATCAAATTAGAACAACCATCGCTTCCAAACAAATGCACGGACAACACATGAAGTTAGACATTCCGAAATATCTCCTTATGGATTACTTAATCTTGTGTTTATAACTAATAGGATATATTATTCAAGTGCGAATTGATGACCTAGAACTTTTATGCTACCTGATTACCTAAACCAAAGAACATAAAAATGTTTGAACATGTGAACCAGTGGAGTCAGGTACTTTAGGAACTAAGTATTAACTTTACTGCAAGTTCTAGAAAGTTTATCTGCCCTCAAATTCTGGTCTTAGTGATACAAAGCGTGCGACAGTAACCCCGTATTTTCTGAGATTAGACATAATAAGTGCTTACCAACCAAATGCAAAACATTTACAAGTCATATGTAACTGTTTCTCTAAATTTTTCCGTTTCACTGCAGGGATTATGTTATGTTTCACTACTTCTTTACAGAATGACGTGTACTTTGAAGCTGACTACTGACAATTCTACTTGACCGAATAAATGCAGCCCACGCAGTTTGTACGATAATAGAGATCCAGAAGCACAATAACCAAAAGAAAGCTTACCACAATGAGAAGCTGATGTCAGTCAGCTACAACGTAGGACCAGGCACATATATGCATCGTTCCAAGTTACCATACCTCATTAACACAACAACATGGACACCGGATTCATAAAAATAGTTAATTCAGATGTGGTAATACATAAAAGAAAGATCGCAATATAAGGATATAGTACAGGAAGGAAGAATTAGTTCGTAGAAAGAAAAATATGAAGCGATTTTAATCTCTTAGTTTAAGGGAAAACAGAGTGTATACACCAACACCATTGTGGTTGATTCTGAGCCATGTCACTAAGAGTCTCCAACTATTGGTTACGATTGTCACGCGGACCCCAAACAATTAGTCTGCATCTACCAACATGGTTCAGACTGGAAGTTAGTGACTTCAAGGACTGATGCCACGTTTTGGTTTGGCCGCCCCTAACTTTCTTCCAACCATCTGCAGCACCGGTTAGCATTGCACGTCGTGGTAATCTGTGTTTATGTTTGCAACTCTCATCCTTCGTCAGAATCTTACACACTATAAATATTTGGAACAAAAGTAGTGCCAAGAGAATTGGTTTATTCAAGGAGCACTGGTCATTCAATATAATGCATGTAAACTGAGAAAAGGACCGAAGAGTATGATTTGAAATAATTCTGGGAGCTAAAAGGCTGTAGTGAAACTATACTACAACAAAAACCGCCCCCAAATGCCCTGGTACGGACGAGAGTGGGGAGAATCCGCTCTATCTTTTGAAATGCTCTCACATGGCCATGCGTATATAGCCTCTGCCAGGGAAATCCTACTCACTGACTTCTCGTGGCATTACTGTTGTTTACGAAATTCAGAGAACGAAAACCGAATATCTGGCGCTTTAACCGGGTTAGCGGACATGGAGAGTCCACCTAAGGGAGTTGGAAAACCCTGATTCCAAACCAATGGTGCACATGGGCTCCAGTATCCTGAAGGAACAAATGGCATATGAGCCAATCGTTGGTCACCGGCTCCCATTGGATTGCATCTCCTTACGATGCTCCACTGCCTTGTGGATCAGGCCTGTAGGTCGAAGGCTCTGGATGTGGCCTCCTAAGAAAACCACCTGCTTCGGTTTGGGCACCCGGGCAGTATCATAGCCCTCACACACATCAAGTAAGATCTGTGTGGCGCATATGTATTTGGTGCCTTTTTGTACCAATATCTATGTGTTAAAAAAAATAAATAAACAACAAAAACGCCAGGGTACTATAAGAATGGTTACGCGTAATCAGTTAACGAATAAATCAAAATCATATGACTATGACACCAATGAAACTCAAACATAGTCTCTTAGTTTGTTTCCAGGGTCGATGACCAACTTTCCGTATCTTAATGCATTCAGATTGATACAAGGACTCATGAATTTCGCAGGAATTAGTGTTTATGTTATGAAAACTTCCTAGCAGATGTAAAAGGAAACATGGCTTTTCTATATAAATAGAGTACGGTAAAGATATGAGGTACAGTATAGTAGTATGAATCTCCGTGGCAAGACAACCAACGAATCCAAAATTGACATTTACAAAGTAACTCCCCGATCTCCCTATTGTAGACAAAGTTTGACCAGTTTTTCGAACACTATAGGAGACTCGAGACGCAAAAATTCGGGATTTTCGCTGGT